AAACCCTTTCTGAAAATGGGATGTGATCTTAGCTCCATCATCATTTAAAGGTTACCCATTTTTAGTGGCTTTACGACCCAAACACTGGAATTTCTGTAAAATTCCAATTAAAATAATATTTTGTCCCTAAAGGTACTTCTGACTTATGAAATATGTCCTCGCATTTGGTTCAGAGAATATGGCCACTGAGAAATTATGTGTGCAAATTAGAAATATTGGAATAATTTTTTGAAGATGTTAACTTTGTTATCCCTTATTAGCCACAATAGAAATATTTATCAGTTCTCTTTTTTGGGGTGAATTAACTTAAGGCAGGCACTGAATTGCATCATCTCCCACTGGGTAGTTACTGTTCTTGCCAAAGCCATTCTACATCACTCTGTAGAAAGGTGAAAAGTGGCAGGGAGAGCAAGGTCTTTACCCATTGTAGAAAGAGCTCCCCCCACTCCCCATTCACTGTATTTGATAGACAGAAATTAAGGGACAAGGGAATGACTGCTATTGGCTAATCAGAAAAATCTGGAAGGGGCAATGTTGTCTCTGAAAAAAAAAAAATTTGTGATGAGTCATTTATTACTAGTATCTTGCATTGAAGAGTCATGCAATTGCATACATGCAAATGAAGAAAGGTGTCTTGAAACAAGAATTAGTTTTTCATTTTGATAACTGGAGTTTGTTTCCCTGGAAGGAAAATATCCCTTCCCTCCCCTTCCCTTCCCTTCTCATCCCTCCCCTCCCCTCCCCACCCTTCCCCTCCTCTCCCCTTCCCTTCCTTCCCTTTCCCATTAGTATAATAAAGTTATATTGTGACCAAGTTCAATCCCTGATGTCCTGCCTATATACCAAGAGGCACATAAATGGGCATTTGTTTCCTTACTGTATATGAAATACAGATTAGTCAGCTCACAACAGCTTGCTGGCACCCAGACTAGTACATGGCTATACAGGCAGAGTATACACATGCTAAGACATCAGGAAGAGTGACAACAAGCACAGATGAATAAATAAGTAGCCAATGAATAAATAAGTAGCCAAATATGTAATAGAAGGAAAAAATCTTTATTGAGCACCTGCAATGTGCTAGACAAGTTGCATGGCTAAATCACTTCATCCCAACAATAATCCTTCAAGGGAGATATTATTATCTCTGTTTTACAGATGTAGGATCTGAGGTTAGAATGCCTTTTGCCCAAGGTCACACAGCTAAAGGGGAGCAACCACATTTGTGTCCAGGTGTGTGCTACCCTACTACTGCACCTACACAATAGACATTTAATTGATCCTCAGAGACACCATGCCCCATCCTTTGTTCTTTTAGCCTTAACTGGACTATCTTTGCTGAACTGAATTCTCATTGGTTAAAATGAATTTTCCTTCCATGGTTCTTAGGGCACCAGGAAAAGCCCCTCCTACTCTTTGGTCATTCATCCTCTGTTACTGTTATCTTTTACCAAACTAAGTATAATGTTTCTAGGCCCTTTCCTTTCCTTACTCTATACCAATTACCTAGGGTGTCATCCAATGCAGGTATGGATTGACACATGTACACAAATTTACATATTCCACCATGGGGTCTTTTCTGCTCTGACAAAGTAGGATCTATTTCAAGTATACTTATCTCTTCTTTGTAGCAACTGCCACAGTAACAGTTTTACTTTCCTTCCTGTGATTACTGATTACTCTGTTTCTCCATCAATTCTAAACTCTGCATGGCTGAGTTCTAAATACCTAGCATAGCAGATGCTCAATAAATATCTTCAAATAGATGTTAAATGCAGACATAGTCAATCCAATCTAGAGGATTTAATGTGCATGGGTAAGGGGAGATCCTACCACATAAGGGCAGGCTAAATAAGCAGAATGAAAAAGGACTAGGCATAGCTACTTCTGCTAGGCTGCTATGAGGGTATTAAATGAGTTGATAGGAAATATTTATACTCTGCTAATTTCCCCCACCAGGGTCACCTGAGGCTCTCTGATGCCTTGAAGATGTGAAAGTTGCTAAACGAAACCTCTGCCCCATTTTGCAAAGTAATTCATTGCTGAGGTGGCTGTCTCTTTGGCAGGTCAATCAAAGTCATTCAAGGATTGAATGGATTGTCACTACTTCCAAAAACTGACTCTATTGGCTGTGTAGGGACCCCTTAGTACAGGAAAAAATATCTCACTGAGCAATTCCTGTTCCCAAAGTGTTCCTGCAGTGCAGCAGGCGCAGTAGTGATATCAGCATTGCAGAAATAACACATTAGCACATCCTGTTCAAACCTTGGCCACTGTTAAGAAAATGGCACATGCCCCAAATGGGAATTTTCCAAAAAGTTAATGAGCAAAGAACAAAAGTATGACAGTCAGATAATTATGACTGAGATTTTCCCCTTTAACTAAAAAAGTAATTATAGGGCCTCAAATTGCAAACATTTCTCTCCAAATAATGTAGGGAGAAGTATTCATGTGAGAGAAGTAAACTATATGAAAAAAGAGGAAGGGTTGTGGGAAGGCATAGTCTCACATTATTGGAAGGAATGTAAATATACCTAATGTATTGATTTACTGTAGCTGTTTTGCAAATTACCACAAACTTAACGACATAAGACAAATTTATTATGTTAGACTGTTATGGATTAGGACGCCAACATAGATCTCACTGGGTTACTAAAAGCAAAGTGTCAGAGTAGTTACATTTGTTGCGTTTTCCTTTCCTTTGATTTTCCAGTTTCAGGGCACTGACTGCATTGCTTGGCACATAGCTCCCTTTGTCCAGCTTCAAAGATAGCACCAGTGAGGTAAGTCTCTGATTCTCACTTGATTTTCAAGGACCTTTGTGATTACATTGGACCTACACAAATAATCCTACTTTGAGGTCAAACTGGCTAGTAACTTTAATTCCATCAGCAATGTTACCTCACCTTTGCTACAGAAGATAACATCTTCATAGCTTCCAGAGATCATGGTATGGATAACTTTAGAGGACATTATTCTGTTACTTCTCTGAGGAACAATTTGTTAATGTCTTAAATTTTTTCATTTGACTCAGCAATTCCACCACTAAGAATAGGTATATATGGGTATACTTCAAGAGGTACACAAAAATATACATTGCAGCACTACTTAAACTAAATACTGGAAACCATCTAATGTTATTTAAATAGAGTCAGACTAAGTCAATTATAGTTAAACCTCAAGGTAGAATACTATGTGGCATGAAAAAGAAAAAGAAATGGAACTTTAAGTCCTGGCAATAAATACTCCCTAAAATATAAGGCTAAAGAGTGGGGAGGGGATGATAAGGGAAGTGCGGGACAAAAACAATGTAAAATATGCTGCCATTTGCAAGAGATCGGAAATGTAAGTACATATGTGCTTAGAATATTACTGAAAGGATACACTAGGAGCTGTGTAGTTAAGGTCCCTGGGAAGGAGAACTGGGGTAAAGAGATAGAAAAAAAAAACCTTATTTTTCACTGAATATCCTTAGGTACTTTTGAATATTTTTGAAAAATATTTGCAGTATTTAGTCTGAAAAAGAAAACAAGACAAATAAAAATCATAAAACATTAGAAAGGAGTCATCCAGGAAGATAGGAAGAATCAGAAGCTGGCTTTTTGATCTTTGTGACTGCGTCCCATATAATGCATGCAAGGAAAATATCCATGCTAATATGACTGCTACTTATGCCTCCAATGAAGTGTTTCTTTTCCTGGGGTCTCCACCTTTCCCAAGAGTCCTGAAGTCCGTGAAATGACAAGCAGTCTTTCCTGTGCAGGAATATATGCACTTTTCTGAAAAGAGTGAGCCTCTGGCTCACTCGTTCATTAGCTGGGAATGAGTAGAGTTAGTCAAACCAGATTTTAAAATAAAATAAGTGTTTTAAAATATGAAAAAAATTTTATGCAGTGTTTCATGTGTTTTAAAATATGAAAATAATGTTAAAATATTTAATATATAGTTAAATAAGAAAAGTAATCATATCATATGGACCTCCTTCAGTACTAAAATAGCTCATCAAGAAGATTCTTAGTGGCATCACTATGGAAGTTCTTTCACTAGAAGTACATACACTGAAAGAAAATATTAGGGGTGTGTTCACCTCAAATGCAGATACTGAAATTTTTGTGGTATGTAATATTTTACAAGTAATTCAGAAGGAAACCCACTCAAGGAAAAAAGAAAACCGTGTTTTACAAATAGGGACCTCACATAAGTATCCTCAACAGAAGCTGACAATTTGAGTACTTCTTAAAAATACATACTTCTTGAGTGATTTCTCCAAGTATCAGAATACTTCCAGTAAGGAATTAAATTGCAATTGAACAGCTTTTAACAATCTTGAAGTCATTTGTGATCTGGAGTCACATATGGGAGCTATTTCACAGACTTTATTAGAATTCATGAGTCAGGCTCACATAGTACTATTTGGCTTCTGCTTTGATTCATTGGCACTTGTAGACTCAATACTTACTTCATGATACCACTCAAACCTTTCCATAAGGACTGGCCTTGGGCATCCTGGACTACATAGTTCATATCCTTCCACTTTAAAATAATTTCTATTCAGGAAAAACAAATTTGTTCCTTTGAATTTCAGCTGGCTTGTTCTATAAACACAAAAGTAGTACATTAATTATGACCATAACACAATTATCACCAAAGCAATATCCAAGAAATTATGTTTATTACCCATAATAAGTAGAAAAGAGTATGATTTAGTGCCAAGATTTACATGTATACATAAAAGTACCCACTGTACCTGGGCAACAGGATTTAGGCTCCAAAGTCAGCAATAGCTAAAATGAGGCTATTACAGCTGTCATTATGTTCACCCTGCTTCCAAAATATACCTTTTCCCATTTCCTTTTCACCCCCTCTCCTATCTATATCCAACACCATTCTTTTATCCCTATCAAACTATTCAGTACACATTTACTGAGTAATTATGATGTACTGTTCTAAACCTATGAAATACAAGAGTGAACACAAGGATGTACTTATGAACCTTACATTCTAGTGAAGGAAAAAATACAATTTAAGTATGTGAATAAATTAGATAGTATTATGATAAGTGCCAAGAAATTGAGTTAGAAGATTATTGCTTGGACAGGGAGTAAGAACCTAATTTAGACCTAGTAAACAACAGATCAGCCTAGCTAATAAAGGTAAGTACATTTGAGCTAAGATCTAAAAGGAAAAGCCTGACTAGCATCAAGACTTTTAAAAATTGCCTATCTAAGGGCCCTCCCTGGTGGCGCAGCGGGTTAAAGCACAGCACTGAGAATCTAAAGCCACTTCCACATGAGTTCAATTCCCGCCTGCCCTGGAGATGACCACATGGCGTGGCAGACCTCTCCTGGCCCGCCCACTGCTCTCCTCAGCAGTGTACTTCGTCAATCTGCTTGTTCTGTTCCCCACTCTGTCACTGGTGAAGCCTCTCGCCTCCCCTGAGCTTCTGGCCTGTTCCCTAGTTCTGTATGTACAAATAAATAAATCTTTAAAAAAAAATTGTCTACCTAAGATGACTGTATTAAAAAGATGTGGTACATATACACAATGGAATATTACTCAGCAACCAAAAAAAAAAAAAACAAAAACCCATGTCTCTTGCCGCAACTTGGATGGAGCTGGAAAAGATCATGCTTAGTGAGATAAGCCAGAAAGAAAAAGAAAAATACTGGATGGTTTCGCTCATAGCAGGAGTATAATGGACTAGGCGAGAAAATAATAAGAATAATGAACAGCCATATACCAGAGACATTTTGTGGGGGTGGTGTTGGGGGGGGAGGCAGAGGGAGATGCACTTGACTATGGTGATGGCACATGGGTGACTTGGTGATGGGAAACCCACGGGGATTACAATTGAGATGAAAAATAAATGTACAAAATGATGTAAAAATGAACTATTATATATTTTTAAAATTGCCTACCTAGTAGCCATAAACTATTTTACCTTGCTATTGAAACCCCAGCTTTACTTGGGTGGCAATGCATATATCTCTAGGAACTAAATCATAATTTATTTAAGCCATTTCTGGTTCATGAAATATAAGGGGAGCCACTGAAAGTTTCTGAGGAACATGTTTATTTCTGCTAGGAGATCCACAAGTGAACAAAGCTGTCTTTAATTCTTTTCCCTTTTGCTTCAGCTATTGTCATGTTTTGATATGATACCCAGATCTGTGGTAGCCACCATGCAACTGTGAAAAGCTTGAAGAGCAATGTCAGCAGACTTAGTGTGATGGAAAGGATAGAGATAACTTGATGATATTGCCAAACTGCTAAATCAACCTTGGAACCATCTATCCTCATCCCTTTTCTTAAACTGTAAATAACTGTCTATGCCTTAAGTCTTTGTTAGCTGAGATTTTGGTCATTTGTCTTGAAAGGACATGACTGATTTAACAGAAATGTGACATGATCATAAATGGGTGAAATACACATATATATGTATGTATATATGCATATGTATGTATCTTTGGTAACTATGTGAAGAGATTCTAAAGTGCAAAAATGGAACAGAGATAGAAAAGACTACTGCAGTAGTCCCAAAGGAGGATTATGGTGTCTAGTGAAAGAGGAATCAGTAAAGCAGGGGAGAACAGACATATTTAAGACATATTTGCAGGGAAAAAATAAGGGTTGTTGGTCCAGATATAGGTGAAAGACATATATGAGTTAAGGCTAACCTTTCTGGACCTGATAATGGTGCCATTTTATTCACATAGAAAGACATGAATAAGCTTAATAGAGGGGTGAAATCAAGAGTTCCTTTATGAACATTTTAAATTTATAATATGTGAGTCATTCAAAGAAAGATGTCAACAGGTAGACATGAGTCTGGATTCTGGAGTTAAGTCAGAGCTTGGATTTCATTTTGGGAGTTGTCAATGTATAGATGTTATTTAGAGTCATGGGAACAGAAAAAGCAAGACTCTCCCCACTGGCATTCATTTGTGGAACTCTAAAATTACAGGTCTGTTAGAAGGGAAGGACACTGCCAAAGAGACTAAGGAGTAGTGAGAGAAGTAGGAGCAAAATCAATAACAGCAACCATACTTAACATTTGAGCAGGCATTGCTCAAAGACCTTCATGTCATTTTCTTCTGTGGTTAATCTCTAAATTCAAAAGGTTTAGGCACAGTACTTCTCTATTTCTATTAGTTATTGATGTGTACATATGCTTGTTGGGAAATATTAAAATGACACACTACTGGAGGCTAAATGTGGAGAGTAAAGATGGTAAAAATTTTAACCCACCTTTACCCATTAGACGAATTAACAATTCTCAAACTCCTGAAATCATCTACACACATATACTTGCACACACATACGCACTTATTTTCACACAAATTGGATCATTCTTTCTCCAGATAGATGATAGACATAATCCAATTCTGGAAATAGCTTTTTTTTTTCTCTAACTCCACACATTTTAGAGATGTTTCTATGTCTGTCAGCACATTTGTATCTATTTTTATAAGACTTAAATAATATTCCATTGTATTAAAGTATAATTTAAGTGGACCCTCCTGGTAGCACAGCCGGTTAAAGCACAGCACTAAGAAGCTAAAGCCAACTGAGCATGAGTTGGATTCCCAGCCCCAGAGGTTTTCCACATGGTGTGCCAGATCTCTCCTGACCTGCCCACTGACCCCCTCAGCGGTATACCTCCACTATCTGCCCATTCTACTCCCCACTCTGTCTCTGGGGAATCCTCTCACCTCCCCCGCACCTCTGGCCTGTACCCCAGTTCTGTATGCATGAATAAATAAATCTTGTTTAAAAATGTAATTTAAGTACCTCTATGTATGTGCAATTAGATTGTTTTTGTTGTTGTTGTTGTTACACACAAAATACTGGAATTAACATCGTTATTCTTAAATCATTTGACACTGTTACCAAAAAATCTGTTGGATAATTTCCTGATCATGAAATCGCTAAATCAAAACCCTCAAACCTTCGGTATTGTCAAATTATACCCCCCAAATTTTACCCAAATGACGGTCTTAAAGCATTTCTATTAGCATCTTGTCAACACACGGTATTGGTAGTTTGCCAATCTACTAAACTGAACAAATGGCGCCTATTTGAATCTCTTTTATTATGAGTAGAGCATAGAGGCATGATATTAAATGTGCACATTTCGAAGTCAGGCTCCGTGAGCTGATGCCATCTCTTCCCTTTGAAGTGTGATGGGGGTATTATGTGTGCATACTTTTCTTCTGAGAGGGGGATAATGAGAGCACAAATCTTCAGGATTAAACAAGAAACGTAGGAATACAGAATACTCCCTGTATCTGAGCTATCAACAGTACACATCTCAAATTTTTTAAGTCATACTCGTTCCAGTACTTCATCTTTAGCGTACTCTTTCCGATTATGGTTCGCAGAACTCTTGCTGCTTGTTAACTCTAAAAGAGACGAAAATCAGCTCTCCGAAATTCCTCCTTTTCTTCCCTCACCCCCTACCTCAGAACTACTGGCTCACACATATCCAAGTACGAGAATGAGTTGCAGTTTTTAAGCAATGCACAAAGTGGACGACACTTGGTCGGAAGAACTTCGGTGTCTAGATACTTTAGAAAACAAGAATTTAGCACTGCATAATCCGCGGCACCTTTAGGAAGTAGGCAGCGCCGAAAGAATCAGATGATAGAGCTTTAAACGAGCGAAAGCTCTAAGGCCAGCCTCTACTCGCCAGACCCGTACGCACGCCCCATGTCCCCGCCCCCTCTCTAAAGCGGAAGTGACGTTATAAGCAGAGTCCGTCTCCCTCCGCGGTCTGCGAGTGGCGCGGCCCGGGCTAGCGGGGCGTGCGTCGACGTCGCGGCAGTAGAGGGATTCTGGGTAACGGCCCCGGCCGGCTGGAGCGGCTGGCTTCGCGCTGCAGGTTCCACTCACGCCTAGTCGGTTGGCGGTGGCAGTTGTGGGGGCGGGGGTCAGGTGGACATGGAGCAGCCTTGGCCGCCGCCAGGACCTTGGAGCCTCCCTCGGGCCGAGGGTGAGGTTGAGGAAGAGAATGACTTGGATGTGTCTCCTGGTTCTCCCCGCTGTCTGCAGCTCCCGGATGGCGGCCCCCAGGTGAGAGGGAGACGGCGTTCTGCTGTGGGAATGGGAAGGTGCGGTCGCTGGGCCCTCTGAGTTCTCTGTCTCTGTAATCCTGTTCTGTGTCCTATTATGCGCTCCCTCCTCCCTCTCTGGGACGGGTGCCCGATACCATCGTACGGCTTTTGTAGCATCTTCTGAGGGCTTCAAAGAAGAGCTGATCGTTTATTCCCACCCCCTACCTCCGTGCACACTTATTTTTTCACCTTGTCTGTATACCTCCTCATCCTTGGAAGACGTTCCTACCCCGACCTCCTGACAACACCCAGGTTTGGGGCGGCTCATGCTCTAACATTGACCCTTTGTCCTCCTAGTGCATGCTTTCATCTGAGCACTTTATTCTGTTGAAGGTTCTAATACGTGTGCACTGTTAATAGGAACAGTGACTGGTTGTGTTTCAATAATTCATTGAGCTCCTGACATAAAATTATCAGATCCAGTAACACTGGCCTCAATTCTTATTAAATTCTGTAAACCTCGTTTGCTTTTGATGCTGGTCTCAACCTCCTATTTGCGTGACCATTTTCTCCGTATATGATTTATGTTTTAGATTTGTTTCACATCGTTTCCAAGTAAGAACATATAGGCACCCGTTTCTTTCCTTCATACTTTTCCCTCAGATTCCGGATACTGCTTGTGGTTTTCAAGCCAGAATACCTCCCTCTGAAATTTAACCAACTCACTTAGGATTTTTCTGGGAATAGTTATATGCTGATATCATTTGTGTCCTCGTTGTTTTTCTCCCAACCTGAGTGTGTTTTGGAAGTTTATTTCAGGATCATAGACCAACCCCTAAAATACTCAGTGAAATAGGTTATAGGTGTCTGCATTCTAGGCTTCTTGCAAAATAGGATCCCTAAGAGCTTAACTGAATAATACTGGTTTTTTAAAGATTCTTCTACCAGCTGTTAATGAAGATGAGTGATTTAAATCATTTGTCGATAAGTGTAGGATTATCTGTTCTATTCCAAACTCCTGGATTAGTTGACTTCACACAGAGAAAAGTGCTGTTTCATAACCACAGACTGTACTTCAGCCAGCCAGTGACTGGGAAATTTTTAGGAGGACAGAATGAGAGTTGATAGGTCAGTAGTCACTCACTAATTATGGATCACTGGTGTCATCTTTATATAAAAAATGCTATATAAGCACATAATGAATGTGTTACCCAGCTGAAGACAAAAGAATGAACACCAGCTGCCATTGTCAATTTTGAAGGCACATGGGGAGCATAGAAAGGTTTTATGAATTTCAGTGCATTCTGTTGAAGCACAAAGGAAATGTAAAGGTTAACTTTTCACTTGTGCATTTGGAATCGTTAGCTTCTTTAACTGAAATGATTTTAGAAGTGAATAGACTCTCTGCTTGGAGAGTGAGTTCCCTGGACCATATAACTTAGTAGCAGAATTAAAGATAAAACCTTTCCTACTATATTGTTTTTGCGCAACTATTGCAGCCTATCCTATGATCTAATAAAAATTTTATTAGGCTGAAATTACCTTTGAATAGTATTAAAATTTGCAAATGGTTCCTAATCTTAAGTTAGTTCATGTGTTGTTTGTAATAAGTCTGCTTATTTGAGTTGCTGACTTTTAAGACTTGGAAGTGTTAGGATGGAAATATTTTTGGAAAGACTAAACTGTTTAATGCAGTTTATAAGTGCTTTATAATCTTAAAATAATCATTAGTATACCTGATAAGATAAATCTAAACATCTTAATGGCATCTGTGAGGTATAGGTCTGAGATCCATTTAAAGAAAAGGCAGCTTGGAATTTAGAGGTTATGTTTGAATTTTTTTAGGTAAAGTTACATTTGTCAGTCTTAATGTTAACAGTTCTTTGTTCAAATTTATGTTCATTGAAATAGTTATGCTTAATGTCTTACTAAAACTTAAACTTGTTCACAAATAGAACATGACTTTATTGAATCATCTCTATGCATTAGTTTGTTCAAATGTCTCATCTGTGAAGATTTCAACACAAATCATTTTATGTTTGATTTGAGAAATGGTTTCCTCCCATATAATGTGAAAATGGAAGGCATTCCTGACTTAAAGTATATCTTTTATCTTTTCTTGCAAAATAAATTTTACAACTTTTTTTTCCTTTTAGTTTGGTTCTTTAAGTTTAGTCTGCAATAATTTATGATCCTAAGATAGCAAAAAATAAGGATAAATATTTTGTTTGGTTGGTGCAGCGTCTTGGTACATTGCTCCAAACTTGCTAAATAACTAGATAAAATACCTGAATAGCAACAGTGTCCACAATTGTCTCAATAGAAATCCTCTTTGCCTGAAGACTCTGCTAGGAAGTAGGGGCCTTGCCTAGTACTTGTCTCATAATTCTTTGTCACCACTAGTCTGTCCTAAGAAGTGGAGAGTCATTTATTCATCTATGATTTACTTGATTGTAGCACCCAAAGAAACTGATAGTTGAATAAACAATTAGCCACAACATTTTATGAAAACACTATAGAAATATAGATAACATGGATGAGGGGGAGGGATAAGAGGAAGGTCGGGGAAATGGTGTCAGAATCTGAAATGTATAAGAGTGTATTTTGTTTGTTTGTTTCCTGGTGGTAGTAGGATTGCTATATTAAAAGGAACAAAGACAGTATAAGCAGACAAGTGAGAAAATAACTAGAACTGAACCTAAAAGGGTAGTAGGGATAATGAAGATTTATTCTATGCACAGATTTTGTTCTTTATCCCAAAATTCTAAGGAGAGTAAAATTTTCAGATATATTTTTTTGAAAGATCAGCCTATTAAATTGAAGAATAACTTTATATAATTAAGGTGTGAAATTATAAGGGCTTGAATAGTGATGTAGGTAAGGGAACAGTTTTGAATAGTTATTCTGTACACATCATTTAAAATTGTTCTTCATTTTAATTAAAAAATCATAGACTGCCTTCAGCTTTTGTTTTATAGAGCTGAGGAATATAAGTAATTAAGCATCCATCATAGTTCCTTACATGTAGTATTCAGTAAAGATTAAAACTAATATGTATTGCTTCTGAATAGAACAGTTGACTTTTTTCTAAGTAACTTTGCTTATTTGATTAGGACTAAGTTAAAGGGTATTGGATAATAGTTGATTATAAAGAGAAATTTTCAAGAAGAAATCAGATCCTAAAGGACTATGGTAATACAGAAAAAAAAAATAAAAGTGAAAACTGATTAGTTCTAATCAAAGGTTCTCCACAAACAAAATTTAAAAGTCTGATTTTCAGCATGTTGAGTGGTAAAATGAGCTAAATTTATACCTTCCTACTTATTATTCTACTGTTTCAAGTTTATGAAAACAATAAGTGTTAGTTGAACAACAGCTGCATACAAAACACTGTGCTAGTTTCCAGAGTTTTTGTTGGTGTAGTCAGGGAGGGGCACAGATTCACAAAGAAGCTTAGGAACTAATAGATGAAAACAAGGCTGTAATATAAAATTGTAACTGATACTCAGAAGTCAGGATGCCTGTGTACCAGAAACATTGAACCTAAATCCTTGACTAAAACAAAATTGAACTGTATTGTGCAAACATCACCATTGCCTCCTTCCTTTCTTACAAATGCTGTTTTTCATCTAGATATATAGCCATGGGATTGAACTGGCTTGCCAAAAGCAAAAAGAGTTTGTGAAGAGCTCTGTGGCATGCAAATGGAATCTCGCTGAAGCTCAGCAAAAACTTGGTAGCTTAGCACTGCATAACTCTGAGTCCTTGGATCAGGAACATGCCAAAGCACAAATAGCAGTATCAGAACTGAGGCAGCGGGAAGAAGAATGGCGGCAAAAAGAAGAAGCTCTAGTACAGAGAGAGAGAATGTGTCTGTGGAACATGGATGCCATTAGCAAGGATGTTTTTAATAAGGTATGACTTTTTATTGGACCATATTGAAAGAAGAAATAACAAGTGTTTATACAAAACAGTTGTGTATATTTGATAGCAAAGCAAGAGGATCTTGTAAACTACGCTCTATGCTCAGTACTGTCTAATACAACTGTATGGTGACATGGAAGCACAGTGGATGTATATGTGGGCTCTGGAATCAGACTGCCTCATTTTGTGGCTTTGTTACATGATGACTTTGTGAACTTGAGCAAATCACTAACATCTCTAAGCCTCAGTTTCCTCAATCATACAGAGCAGGTCTGAAGACTTTAAATAAGATAATGTCTTAAAAAGCATGTGACACATGGGGCCTTAGATGTTAGACTGATATTTTCATGCTATTAGCTTGTTGTCTATTTTGTAACACTGATGTATAGTTACTGGAGTTAGTACATTGTCACTAGCTTTTTTTTTTTTTTTTTTAAGATTTATTTATTTATTTATACAGAACTGGGGTACAGGCAGAGATGTGGAGGTGAGAGGATTCACAGGTACAGAGCGGGGAGCAGAACAGGCATTTCGACAAAGTACACTGCTGAGGGGAGCAGCGGGCAGGTCAGGAGAGGTCTGCCGCGCCATGTGGATCTCCTTGGGGCATTCGGGGATCGAACTCATGCGGCAGTGGCTTTAGCTTCTTAGTGCTGTGCTTTAACCCGCTGTGCCACGAGGGAGGGCCTGTCACTAGCTTTTTATCAGAGTTTTATTCTTCAGTCATGAAAAATGATGAGTATTGTTTAAAAAAAAAAAGGCATAAATATATACAATAGAATTGAAAGGCTTGCTTCACTTCCAGGTCCTTTTCCCAGAGATAATCACTGTTAATAGCCCTCTTTCTTGGCTTTTTCTATGCCTGTACCTGTTTGTTTTCCCTCTCCAACAGTAGCATTCTTTATCTAAGTGATAAAGAAATATCTGTACATATTCTAAAGATTGTATCTTCTTAAAAGTCTTATTTTATTTGTTTTGCATTTTATTCCAGTTATTTAAAATAATTTTCTTCATCAGATGGATTGGTTAGAGCAATGTTTCTTTGTTTTATAAAGTTAATGTCTCAGCTGGTCACACACACAAAAAATATTTTCATTATTCCTGCTTTTAAATGTTTTGTTTTGTTTCATTTTAACTTCTAACATAGCCTACATTTATACCACAAATTAATTAGGACTGTCTTTATATTCCAGTCATTTGCTCAAAATCGTACATTGATTTTGTCTGGGAGCTTGAGACTTGAGAGGACTATTCTAGATCTGCGCTGTCCAACTCGATAGCCACTAGCCACATGTGCTTTTGAGTGCTTGAAATGTGGCTAGTCCGAATTGAGATGTGCTGTAAGTGTAAAGTACACACCAGATTCCAATAATTTAGTACCAAAAAGTAAAATATTTCATTAATAATCCTTTTATATTGCTTATGTTGAAATGATAATATGTTGGATGTGTTGGGTTAATATGTTCTTAATTTCATCTATCTCTTTTTATTTATAATGTGGCTAATAGAAAACTTTAAATTACATTTGTGGCTTGGATTATATTTCTATTGGACAGTGCTGGTCTAGATAACAGAACACAGAAAGAAAACCATGATTCTGTATTGAAATATATAAACTTTTGTGTACTTCTGGATTGTAAACTGGCAGAGAACTAGTTTGCAATTTTCATTTTTGGCAGTGATGACCTGAAGGTTTAAATGTGATCACAGAATATTCTAAAAAACAGCCAGTTTTTCTGGCTAGATAAAAACTTGATCTTATTTAACTGAAAATAAGCACTTCCTTAATAGAAATTTGTACTTGATTTCAATAAGACTCTTTGGGCTCTCCTAAAAAAGTTTTGTTTTATGTCTTATCAAATGATTTCTAGTAAATATACTTCTGAGTTTATTTTCAGCAAGAACTTCAAAGATTAGGCTAAATAAAGTTCAAATGTTTCATGGAAATGAATAATGCCAAATATGGACTTAAGGCCATTTCTATATTTACCTTTGAAAGGGAAAGTTTAACAGAAAACGTTAATTCATTTTTTTCTCTGTATGAGTTCTAAAGTAATTATGTGAATTTTCACACCTATGTTTTAAACAAAACCAAATTCTAGTCTAAGAAAATTTAATTTTTTAAATAAATGTGACATAAAATTAATAATTTATCAATACTACTATACCACCTCTTATTGTGTCTGTTGGAAGGATTGCTAGACATTGAGTATCTGCAGAAGATTTTAGTTAGAATATGAAATCTGATCTTCAAATTTTTTTCTTAGAGTTTTATTAATCAAGATAAAAGAAAAGATACAGAAGATGAAGATAAATCAAAATCATTTATGCAGAAATATGAGCAAAAAATCAGACATTTTGGTAAGTCTAATATTTGAGTTTCTTTGTAATGTTTGGTATGATACATATGCATACAAAAAGTATAAAATAGGGACCAAAAAAAAATAAGTGACAAGTTCCTGTTGTGTATAGCTACTTCTGGCACAGTTGTATGGTTCTTGTTTAGATGTTTTTGGTTTTCTTGGTTTTGATCATAGAGTGACAAGAGTAAAAGAATGAAAAGCAAAATCCAATTATATATTATCCACTTATATATATATATGTTATACTACTACTCTTTAAGACTTAGGTTTTATTTATGCCATAACATCTATTTGTTTTTGCCTTTTGTCTTCTTTGCTGACTATCTTACGGTAATGAGATTAGCAGTCATTTTTTTCAAGTTTCAGATATATTGCTATACAATTTCGTGCAGGTCATTGAACTGTTTTTCAGGTAAATATGGTAATAGAAATACCATAAAACTGGTTGCTCTTTTAAAACCTGATTGCCTCTGATATAGTAGTATTCCTTGAAGTATTGTGAATGCCCAACTGGCATTCTGTGTGCTAATTGCTTTGGAGCCATGGGAAGGGTATTGGGTTTGAAGCAGTCCCCTCATTTTTGCTGTGAGCTGAATGCCTTGATCAGAAGCAATTTTGTGTGGAAAATATCCCAACTTCACAAGCTTACCAAAGACTGTCTATATGAGTCTTCAACAAAATAGAAACCCATTGTGTTCATTTCTTTGCTGTAAAATGAATTTCTGGGTTAAGAAATAAGGAGGAATGGGATCTAACTTAATAAAAACACAGATGTATTACTGGTGGAATCTTTCAAGGAGGGAGGGCAATACCAGACCTAAAATGGGTTAGTTCAAGTAAGGAACCATTGAATTGGGACCAACATAACCAACCTGTTACCTGATTGTTAACTGGTCTTTAGCATATGGTGCCAAATTGAAGATTGAACTGTAGCTTCTGCCACTGGTAAATATTAAATGTCTATACTAGAAAATCTTTAGTGAGGAGATCTAACCTGTGGAGTCTACATAAAGCCATATTGTTCAATCTCTGCATAATCTCAAGTTTCTACCATGACCCCTTAGTTTATAAACAAAGCATTTTGCAAGCAATGAGATAGCTGAGTAAAAAAAGACTGGCTTAACTTCCACAGATGATAGTGATTGTTTTTGCCATTGTATGTTGAGGATTTCCAGTGTCTCATCCAATACTAACTAGAGCCTTACTGTCTTCAAAGCCAACCAGACCTGATAGCCACTCCCAGATTCACATTGTACCTGTTTCTTAGTGGAAATGCACACTGACTTTTCACTTTGGAGGAGATATCCTACTTGCTGCAACCCATTGGATCCCCAGAAATGTTACTAAGGTAGTAGGTTCCCAAATTTTTCATGTTTTATTTCCCACTTTCTGACATAATGTGTGTCTTACCAGGACATCTGAGATGCCTGCTATTCCTGCTGTTCACCAAGTTCCATTAGTGTGAAATCTTATCAGTTTGCAGTAATGTGAGATAATGAGCTCAAGTCCATGTGAACTAAATTATAACATAGTGAGTTCATAGAGACCCTAGGCAAGATAGTGAGAGTTTAACATTGTCCCTTAGTGGATAAATGTTAGCTAACATTTACGGTGTTACATGCTTATTGTGGTAAAAGGGAAAAAGCATTTTATAGAATAATGGCTGTATTGATAAACCCCTTTGAGGTCAACACATCCTATAATTAAATTGTCCAGCAGGACGCTTTCCAAAATTGGATTGCTTTCCATATCCTTGGGAAACATGGGCTTGATATGGGAGGTAGCTTGGAGAGCGTCATATCAGTACTTCTCTGTGGTCTCCTGTACTTAATATTCTTCAGAGTTTTTCCTAACTTTCCCTTATAATATTTGTTAACGTTCTCATATGGTTTAAACTTTATAATTGAATGGAATTAACCATCTAATGATTATTATGAAGCATTGAAATCTCAATTTCCCCCAATTTGTATTTATTAATTTAATTAATTTGTTTTATAAATATAAAACACCAATTTAGAAAAAAGTTTTAAATGTTACAAGTTTTTGTTTTTATTCAATCATGAACATGTGCATATGTTTATAGGATACATATATGTGCATACAGCTTTACATTATATATTATATATCTGTTCTCTTCCAGCCAAAGTTAGCCATGATTCACCATTTTTTTGACTCTATAGGATGTTGTCATTGGAAATTTTATCAAAAAAAGTTAAAATTTGCATAAATGCTAAAATAGGATCATTTTTGATTATACTGAATGAATATGGATATTCAGTTGCCTCAGTACACTTACTTACTGCTTTTCAAAACCTTCAGTATCCTATTTTTGAAAACATTTACTAAAAATACTTTTTTAAAAAATTGTATTTGTTTACGCGTGTATGAACTCTGGGGTACAGACCAGAGGTGCAGGGGATCGGAGGATACACCACATGACATAGTGGGAAATGGAACAAGCAGATTGAAATATACTTCTGCAGGGAGCAGTGGGCAGGACAAGAGAGGTCTGCCATGCCATGTGGGTTTACCCCTGGCTGGGGGTCAAACCCATGCTGTGTCATTAGTGCTGTGCTTTAACACATTGTATCACCAGGGATGACCATTAATAGAAATACTTAATAATAGAATATGAAGTTAAATGAATAGAAAGTTAATATGTGATATAACTAATTTTATTGCTTTAAAAGTTATTTTAAATAAATACATGCCTTTTGCAGCAACATGGATGGAGCTGGAAAAGATCATGCTTAGTGAAATGAGCCAGAAAAAAAAGGAAAAATACCAAATGGTTTCACTCATAGCAGGAGTATAAAGGACCAGGGGAGAAATTAATAGTAATAATGAACAACTATATACCAGAGACATTTTATGGGTGTGGAATGGGGAATAGGATCAAAAATGGTGGGGGGAGGAAAGTGCAGTGGACTGTGGTGATGGCACACAGGTGATTTGGTGATGGGAAGCCCACGGGGAGTACAACTGAGATGGAAAAAGGCACAAAATGATGTAAAAATGAACTATTGTATATTTTTTAAAGTTATTTTAAAATTTTAAAGCCTAGAAAGAGTCAAAATGCTAATTTTCATTATCTCTTATAGAATTGCATATGATTTTTATTTTCTGGATTTTTCAAATTCTTTACGGTGAATATGTTTATAAACCTGTAAAGGAAATGTTTTAAAGGGTTTATCCTTAGAATTGAAGGATGGCTCAAAGTTAGAAAAGTCATTGATGTGATTCACCATATTAACAGTTGGTAATAGCATAACCACAGGACTTAATTGTCAGTTTTTTGTGGGAGGAATGAAAATGTCAGGAATTTTTGGAATGCTTGATTGGGTTATATCACCATAGGAATCACCATAGTTGATAGGGAGAGAAGAATAGATTTAGTTTTAAATAAGATGGATTTAAGTACAGGGAAGAATAGTTGTCTGGTGGTAGGTGATTGGGAATGAAGGGGAAATGGAGTTTAGGATATAAAGAAAAAAAGAGGTTACATGTCTTTCATTCAGAAATTTGATTTAAAAAATGCTACCTACTTGGAGATTTTTATTAGCACATATAGAAACTAAAAATCACTAATACAAATTTAAAGGGTTAAAACTATCAGCTGTCAGTATAATGCAAAGAGGAAAGGGAAATAATAAGAACATGTGTATTTGGGAACCATTTTAGAACCAGGTAGAACACTGAAGGCTGATAAATGGATTAGAGATGTTTTATCAGGAAAACACATAGATGGGTATGCATAATTAAAACATCTTAATTTGTCATAGTAAAGTTTTCAAGCATTCAGAAGAATTGGTTGTATAGTTTAAATTACTAGATTATTCTTAACCAAATAATTAGCTTAATACTTGATGAATGAATTACTTGTTTACTAGTATAATACCTAACATTTATCAAATGTTTCCTTTTTTGACAGACACTATTCTAAGTGCTACTTACCCAAGGTTTAGTAAGTGGTAAGAACAGTATTTGTATATAGACAGTTTCTCTCTCGTCTCTTTCCTTAGCCATCATGCTAGTGTATTCTGGTATTCTTTTAGAAATTCCAAAAACAATTCTGTACCACTAAGCTATTGATTCCCTGTAAGTATTTTATTCAGAAAATTCCACTCAGTATAGGCCTATGAAATATTTGTAACCCGATTTCTCAGTTTTATAATAATTCGACATTTATTTTTAAAAAAAATTTATTTTTAAAGTAATGGAAATATTTCTCAGATAAGGAAATGTTTAACTGTAAGTGTTAATTTTGTCTCAGGTATTAGTTTAAAAAGTGTAACATTTCATGAAGGTCTGTGAGTTGTGGAGTGTATCTCTGTTGGCGCAGTGGCGCTGGGGATGGATTCCTCCTCATCTTCCTCCACCACAGGTTTGGACTCAGTGGACCAAAGCTGCAGCCTTTCATTGAGATGGATACACAGAAGCAGCACTTCCAGAAACCAGCGCACCGCATGACTGAACTTTGTTGGGAGGAGTGCATCGACAAGCCTGTCCCAAAGTTGGGCAGTCAGTGAGACCTGTTTGGTGAATTGTGTTGAAAACTCCAGTGATACAAGCTAATACATCTTGAATCAACTAGAACAGACCCAAACATCCAAGCCAGTCTTCTCAGAAAGCATTTTTGACTGATCTCAGCATTACTTCTTTGGAAAAGGAAGGTAGTTCAAGAAAAGAAGAACTATTGATGGGTCAGCTGAAGAAAAGGCTGTGGGGAGATTGGCTCCCACCTTCGTTACTGTTGGGACATTCAGTCATCTAAGAATGAACAAAGACCAGTTTTGGGGAGTTGGGGACATATGTGTATTTGGTTGTATTTTTTAATGCTGATCGTCAAAAAAAATTGACAGATAAATGGAAAAGTACCAGATACCTATTACTGTATGTGGGACTCTGCTTTTCTCAGAAGTCCCACTAACTGCTTCTGTAGTTGTGATAGTGAAACTGCTTCTATAATTTGACAGTGGGAACACATAGGTAAAAAAAATTTCATTTATGTGTATGAATTTCAGTTTTCTGGAGTGATAAACATCTTTGTTTCTCAGAAAGGATGACAGTGAGAGAAGAGTGATATGCTTTTTAGCTGTAGACCCTCATCTCTTAATAGTTTTTGACTATCCATGCTGGGGTAGGGGGATTTATGAAATGTTCATATAGTACACTCCAGCTTTCTATTTAGGTCCCTTATTCTGTGAATTACTTAAAATTCTATATAAGATGTGCTCTCAAAGTAGTACAGGCAACCTGAGACCCTAGAAGCTTTTAGTTCTAAAAGACTATCCGGTGAACATAATTCACATTACTAAACTGTTGCAGGAAGATACCATTTTGATCACTGAAATGAAAGCTTCTACAAAATTAAAAAAAAAAAAATTTAATGACACCTGCCTCATCACAAGTGTCACTAACCCTTTCATTTTAAAGCAAGTATAACAAAGCTAATGCAGAACTATTTCATAGGATTTATTTTATATTTTTAAATATCAGAAATAAGGTTTTCCTATTTTTAGATTTGACCCCCAGAACTTACTAGACTTTTTAGTTATACTTTGAGAAGTAGGTTTAAGTAACTTCCATAAGGTTTCTGCTCTCAGAATTTAAAGTGACTTAATCACTATATCCAAAATATTGAGGAAATAACTGTAAAACTTGTGTAACTCTTCATGAGAAAATGCTAAAATGCTTCCTCCTACCAGTCCTCCTGCCCCTTTTTGAAGTGAGGAAGAAATAATTTATTAATGTGTAACTTTAACATATAAATGAACATATTTCATTTTGCTTTTAGTGGAAAGATGTGCTGCCAACCTGTTGAGACAGCCTTATAAGATTTTTATGACAACCCAGACTTCCCTGGATGAGTCTAAGAGCTCTAAATCTAATAGTCATTCTTTATTATTTTTTTTTAAAGATTTATTTATTTATTCATACAGAACTGGGGTACAGGCCAGAGATGCGGAGAGTGAGAGGATTCACCAGAGACAGAGTGGGGAGCAGAACAGGCAGATCCGAGGAAGTACACCGCTGAGGGGAGCAGTGGGCGGGTCAGGAGAGGTCTGCCTCGCCATGTGGAGCTCCTCTGGGGCAGGCAGGGATCGAACTCATGCGGAAGTGGCTTAAGCTTCTCAGTGCTGTGCTTTAACCCGCTGCACCACCAGGGAGGACCCAACACTGTCATTCTTAACTGACTTAAGCATAAACTTCACTAAACAAAGTTAAATGCTGAACTCTACTGGTTTCATGATTTCTTGGGTGGTAGTCACTTGTAATCACAATTTTTACAAATTTGATTAAAATGAAGATAAACTTTAGTCTTTGCATTAGTTTGCTATTTCAAAGCAAAATGACAGCCATTTTCAAATATGCAAGCTAATTTTTAAGGTTTTTGTTTACTCTGTTTTATAAACATGAGAAAATGGTTAAAACCTATTTACTACTATAATACTGAATTGATTTCTCATGCTGTCAATATTTTGTCATATCATATTAACAGGTTTTTTTTTAAGATTTGTTTGTTTATGCATACAAGAACTGGGGTATAGGCTAGAGGCATAGGGAATGAGAGGACTCACCAGAGACAGGAAGCATAACAGGAAGATCTACTGAAATACACAGTTGAGGGGCAGCAGGCGGGTCAGGAGAGCTCCCTGTGCCTTGGTTGGGGATCGAATTCATGTTGCAGTGGCTGCAGACAGCTTCATTGTGCTGCATCTTAACCCACTGCACCACCAGGGAGAGCCCTCATATTAACAGTTTTTAGTAAATTACAGATAATAAGCTTTTTCTTAATCTTTTATTATCTTTGCTTAGTGTAGTTTTTCAAGGCTTAGCTTTCTGTTTCATCTTTCTAATAGAAAAATTTGTATTCTATGAATAAATTATACCGAGTTTCATGAAATTATCTCTACTCATTTTAACCTAGGATAACCAGCCAACTCAATTTGCCTGGAACTTCAAGCATTCCCCAAGTGAAAGGGTTTTTACTTTTAACTAGTTGCCCTACTTCAGTCTAATTACCTGAAGTAAAAGTTATTGTGACTTTTGGAAGCTCTTTCCTGTATAGTGGGTATTACTTTAAAAGAGAACACGTTTTCATTTGTTTTTACCTTAGCATGTTATGATATTATTAACTCTCTAAAACATTTTAAAATGCCATTTCTTGGTTTGCAAGAAGAAAGTATTTGACATTCATTGTTTTTTGTTTTACAGGTATGTTGAGTCGGTGGGATGATAGTCAGAGATTTCTGTCTGACCACCCATACCTTGTATGTGAAGAAACTGCTAAATACCTTATTTTATGGTGTTTTCATCTAGAAGCTGAACAGGTATTGTGTGAATTTCTGGGAACCTGAGTGAGATTTTGATTTTCTCTTTTGTTCTGTCTTTCACATTAACTTTCAATGAAAGCAACAAGAAATGTAAATGAAATTTCAGTTCTTAGATTTTCTTCAGTTTACTATGGGAATTGTTCTAGTTGTTTCAAGTAGCATTTTTCTGATAGGCTTTTCTAACACCCTCCCTTCTTTTGTCCCCATAAACTATAAGCCATTTTTAAAATCTATTAGGAAATCATGCTTTAAAAATCTACTACAACTATAACTACATTTCAGCAGTATTTTTAAATAATTTTACTGTTTATTTTCAGAAAAGGGCTCTAATGGAACAAATAGCACATCAAGCTGTTGTAATGCAGTTTATTATGGAAATGGCAAAAAACTGTAATGTGGATCCAAGAGGGTGTTTTCGTTTATTTTTCCAGAAAGCCAAAGTAAGTATTTGTTATTGGAAATGGTAATCTTAGCTGTGATGTTTTTGGTCCATACACATTGAAATTAGCTGTGCAGCCAGGATGACACAGGCTAAATTCTGTGGCTTTTACATAGTGAAATGAAAAATTATGTGCATGACTTCAAACTTAAGAGAGCTATATAAGAAGCTGTACCATAGTATGTATATGAAATTGAGACCCTTTCAAATGAATGCATATATTCAGGAAAATTAGGGGGTTCAATCCTTCAATAAAAATTAAGTACTAATGCAAAAGTATAGCTATTTAAGATACTGAGGATATAATGTCCTCCATTTATAGAACTCACAATTTAATGAGAAATCACACTTCTGTAATTAAAAAAATTTTAAATTCTGTGTTCTGTTATCATTGGATATACATCATGTCATTATTTACCTGCAAAGGAAATATTTATAAATCGGTATACTGCCAATAAGTCTTTCGTATCCTTGAAGGGAGTTCAGAACTTTTTCTTTCCAGAATATATAAAGTGGAGTATTTGCTTAAGTTAAGATGTTTCCATAATGAAGCTAAATGTTGTTTCATCTAGTTTAAATGTTTTTACAAATAGAGAGTATAGGGTCAGAATACGAAACAGTGCCCCTTCATTAATTGACAGAAAATTGAGAGGCTTTATGAATATCCTTTGGTTGTTGCTTTGTAATGAAAGAGAGTAGAATGATTATAAGCAGATAAATCCCTTGTCAAGAATCCAGATAAAACCTTTATGAAGGTGTTTTATTTTTACATATATATATTTTTTGTTTCTTGTGTTTTGTTTTGTTGGAGCAGAGGGAAGTGGAACAAACTAATCATTAATATTTCTAGAAAATGGGCAGTTTTTAAGATAAAATAATGCTATTTGCACAACATGGATGGAACTAGAAGGGATAATACTCAGTGAAATAAATCAAAATGTGGGCCTCCTGCTGCCACAAGGGGCTAAAGCACAGTACTAAGCTATCTGTAGCCATTGTAGCACTGAGTTTGATTCTCTGGCCAGGGAGCTGACCCACATGGTCAGCAGACCTTTTCCTGTCTCACCTGCTGCTCCCTTCAGCAGTCATTTTGCAAGTTCTGTTCCCCACCCTATCTCTGGTAAATCCTCTCACCCCCTCACCTCTAGCCTGTACCTCAGTTCTTGTACGTATAAATAAATAAATAAATAAATCTTTTTAAAAAAAGTGAAGGAAAAATGCCAGATGATGTCACTTACAGAAATTATATAGGGAAACCAAAAAAGAGACAAGAAGAAAAATAAAAAACAAACAAACAATAAAGAGACAACTATAAACCAGAAACATTCTGAAGAGGAAGGAGAGAGACCAAAATGAGGGTAGGAAGAGCATAAGGGACTATGGTGATGGTGCATGGGTAAATTGGTGGTGGAAATTATATTGGGACTAACCTAAGAAAGCAACGCAAACATTGTAAAAAGAAGGAATAGGGCCCTCCCTGGTGGCGCAGAGGGTTAAAGCACAGCACTGACAAGCTAAAGCCACTTCCGCATGAGTTCGATTCCCACCTGCCCTGGAGGTGACCACATGGTGTAGCAGACCTCTCCTGACCTGGCTGCTGCTCCCCTCAGCAGTGTGCTTCGTCAGTCTGCCTGTTCTGCTCCTTACTCTGTCTCTGGTGAAGCCTCTCGCCACTCCTGATCCTCTGGCCTGTACCCCAGTTCTGTACGCACAAATAGATCTTTAAAAAAAAAAAAAAAGAAGGAACAATGATGTAAGATAGACAGACAGACAGACATAAAAGAAACAAATAAGCTACAAGAGCTATTTAAAATTTTCTAGTGGTCACATTTAAAAAGGTAACCAATTGTGTCCCAAGTATTATCACTTCAGCATGTAGTCAATATATTTTTTTTAAGATTTATACAGAACTGGGGTACAGGCCAGAGCTTCAGGGGTGGTAAGAGGATTCACCTGAGACAAAGTGAGGAACAAAACAGTCAGGTTGAAGAAGTATACTGCTGAGGGGAGCAGCAGGCAAGGGGAGCAGCGGGCGAGACAGGAGAGGTCTGCCTCACCATGTGTATCACCTCCAGGGCAGGCAGGGATCGAATTCATGCTGAAGTAGCTTTAGCTTCTTAGTGCTGTGCTTTAACCTGCTGCTCTGCCAGGGAGGGCCCTGTAGTTTTAACAAAAAGAAAATGGTAGTTCTTACAAAACTAACAGGCATTGTCTTTCTTCCTCTTCAAACTTAATACAGGTTTTTTAAATAATTTATTGTGTAGAAGTCTGGACAACGTCTTTGTTTTTTATGTTTTCTAGGCAGAGGAAGAAGGTTATTTTGAAGCATTTAAAAATGAACTTGAAGCTTTCAAGTCAAGAGTCAGACTTTATTCTCAATCACCTAGTTTTCACCCTTTAGCAGTACAGAATCATGTTCCCCATTCAGCTGTTGGATCTATAGGTTTGTTAGAATCCTTGCCACAGGTAAGTTATAAAAGTAAATACTTTATAAATGTATAGTTAACATAATTTTGTTCTTTTTACTTTTGTATGTAATTATGTGAGGCCCTTTTAATTATTCTTGCCTCAGACGATTACTCTTGAGTTTTATTTCACACCATGTTTTAGCACTGAATCACTGCCATCTTCTAAGTGGAGACAAATCAAATTTTGCTCCTTTAAATAAAAAAGAAATTAATTCTACCTTAGCTTCTTAATGACAAGTGCTATTGTTGGTCATCTTTTATAAACTTCTCGAGATGGCTTCTGAGAAACATCTCTCATTCTGAGTAGAGCTATATTCATAGGAATTTACTGGAATGAATTAGCTCCAAAGTATGCATTTAAATGGCAATCAAGGTGATCTGCTAAATGAGTTTATTTGATAGTATCTTATTAACGAGATTTAAAACATGTTAATGTTGTATGCTAAGCTACTCTTGTTAATATTGACCAACTGTTTGACTCTTTGGGTCTATTAGATCAAGAAAAAAACATGTCAGTAAAAAAATTTAAAAAATTTATGTCCAACAGAGGACCAGGTTATACTACTCCTTTAGTCTGCCTGATACTACTTAGGATTAGAATTTTAAGTTATCGTTAGAAAGTTGCTGCCCATTTTGATTTTAGATGCATTTTAATATAACCTAGTAATGTCTCCTTTCAAATGCTGAGCTTTTAAGGTTAACCATTTAGTCTGTTGCCTACACAGTGAAAAGGGAGGTCCCATTTAGCAGACAATATGAGAAACTTTGGAATATTTATTTTTAAATCTCATTAAATGGTAGGAATTGAGATTTTTAACATCTTTACCTTATAATACTGCCATTCCAGTTACACCTGTTATAAGCTAATGAAACAATTTAAGGGAAGTCATCGATCATATCCAATTCAACCAAAAATACTATTCTGAAGGATAGAAATAATCCAGACTGATTTACTAAAATAATCAGTAGTGATGCCCACTAGTTAGACATGTAAGCAATATTTCTCAATTGAGACCTACAGATTATCTCTGAATGTTGTATAAATACTGATCATTTTTTCTTCAGTTTCTCAAGAAATAGCCCACAATGATTCTTTCCACTATGTAAACTTCTTAAAATTAAGATGTCACTAGTAAGTACAAAGATACTATTGAAGGGTATTATTGATACTAAGCACAAGAGGGATAAGGTGTTAAAAGTATAAGAGGCATATATTATTTTAAAAAACTTCTGGTTTGAGAAAAGTAAATTCTTGTTAATACATATAGATAGCAAATATCTGCTTGTAGTCATTTTGTGACTTGGAATTACACAATATTGACACTTTTGAATTGCTGATATTACCACACTTATGTTCAGACTTAATTTTGGTTTTGACAGATAGCTTATTGTGGTAGGAGATGGTGAGCATCCTTGTCTAGTCACCTGTGAGATTTTCTAGTTGAGGAAACTTGAAGGGACTCAGTTGTCAATTGAGAGGAGATTTGGGGGGAAACAAGCTTACCATAGTATCTTATTTTTATTAGTTTATGAACTGCAAAACATTTTCACATGTTGATAATCTTCTTAAAATCCTTTTGGTTCATTTTCATTTTATGGATGAATAAACTGAAATTCATAGAGGTTAAATAATTTGACTAACAATATATGATGAAGCTATTTTATCTTGTATTTCTATCCTATTCCACTGTTGATCAAGTAATACCAGACTGTTAATGAATCATGTACTAGAAATAGAACAAGACATTAGTCATGTGCTCTGGAGAAGAACTGGTCATAGAAACAAGAAATAAGTTGAGAATTTAACTATCACAATATATGGTAATAAGTGGAATTTATAAGTTAGATAGGTATATTGATTACTTTTTTTAAGTCTCGCCATGATACTTTACAATTCCTAGGATAAATGAGTTCTGAAAAATCTCCTTTGCCAACTCTAATACCGAGAACTCTTTTCAAGGAAAACTGGAACTCCATAAAGTCATTGTAAATTTTGTCCTTAAGGTCTTTGGAATTGTGCATGAATTGTCAGAAATGGTCTTTATATACTGTATTTTTTGAAATGGGGTAACCATACAAACACTATTAATAGTTTTTTTTTTTAATTAAATTTGGTTTAATGTTTTAGCTTTAACCTTTTTTTCATTAACAGCAATCTTGTAAAGTGCCATTGTCCTTAATTTTGAAAGAACTAACCCAAGTCCACTTGGGTGGAGATCTAAGTAACAGTTAACCCATATTTACCCTATTGACTGACTTTAAATTTTGTTAATTTTGATGAATTGTTTTCTTTTTCAAGGCTACACTATACTTCATGGTAGATTCTGGATTAAAGTACCAGAAATAGAGAATTAAGACCCAGGACTTTAGGAAATCCTTCCCTAAGAATTCAGTTTTGTCTGCTTAACTATCCTGAGTATCTTTAGTTTTAGACATTTACTGCTGCAGTGCCACCTAGTTTCATTTCCTTATTTTATTTAATAAACATCAGAGGAAAAGTGGTAGGGGATAGATGTCTTAAACCTCCCCATCCTCTAAGAAAGAGGGTTTGCAAAAGATGCTTTTAATAAAACACAGTATTTTGTGATTCCTTTATTGTAAAAATCAAAGAGCTAGGTAGAAGTCAGATTATTTACATTCAGGTCTTTGTAAAGGAAATGGCATAAATGTGCTGAGGTCTGGAACAGTAAAGTGACACTGAATGTGTAGTTAGTTGCCTATTTTGGTTTAAGCTGATTATTGTACATTTTTTCTTCCCAATACTTTTTTTTTTTTTTCACTTCCAGAATACAGATTATCTTCAGTATTCTATTAATACAGCTCTCTGCAGTTTAAACTCAGTGGTACATAAAGAAGATGATGAACCCAAAATGATGGACACTGTATAATTTGGTTAAGACTGCTGAAGCCAAGTGTTATTTTGTTACAAGAAAGGAAGAACTTGGCTATTTTCTTGACACTTTTATGGGTGCTGCACTTTATTTTTGTTTGGTTTTTGATGGGAGGGAAAAAGAGTACTGAAATGTTTTATAAACTTTTTTTAATGTGCTGCTAGGTTTTTTTGTTTTTTTTTTTTTTTTTTTCCTAAAGAGAAGAGTGGTACCATATGTTGTGGGGAAGTGAAACTGGACTCTTTTTTTTTTTTTTTTGGCTACTAAATTTGCCTTTAATCTTACTGTTCTCAATTTTGGAATCAAAGTATGAAAATCTGCACAAAAGCAATGTTTACAAGAACTGGTTGATTCTAGGAGGCATCTGCTACAGTCTCTTTTTATATGGATATGTACATGTCCTACTCTACAAAAATGATTAAAGATAAAAATGTACTTGTATTCTACTGCTAATTTAGCTGTGACATCTGGTGTTTCATCATATTAAAAGCAATAAATCAGTAGTTTATAATTACTAAATAAGCTGGGTGTTACAAATCAAAACAAAGTCTTTTCCCTTAAATAATACTACATTCATATTCGACACCATCAGTTAAATCCTTGACTCTAACATCAAATTGTATAGATGCCAAATTTACCCCATAAATAGCCTCAAAACTGTATTCCTTAGAAAGTAATTTTACCCTGTTGATTTTAAGGGTTATAATGATAGAAAAAGTGGTAAGACTAGAAATAGATTTTATCAGCTTCAAGTTCACTCATTAATTTCTCTGCTTGACATAGTCTGGGATCTCTCAGGGAATAAGTTTTAAAAGAATAATTGTGATTTACAAGAACAAACAATCTGATTTAAAAGGAGGAGAATCTGTAGAGCTAACTGCCTGAAACTGCCAGCTACCTATTTCTAGACATTTGGTGATCTTTATTGGTAATGATGACTTTTACTACTTTTTTCATTTTCTCTAGTTTGTTATCATTTGAATACCCTGAGCTTTTACTACTTCCTATATAATTCACTTCAGATATACCATGATTTTTGATGCCTGTGTTTGGAACTAGGTGACACTGCTTTTATCCTTATTATTTAAGGATTAATCTAACTTACAGGAACACAAACTGCTTTGTATTGGGTATAGTCGGTCTGTGGCTCAGTCCTGTTAACACTAGTAGCAAACATTTGGAAAATGGCTAACTAGGACTGGGAATTCCTCTCTCAACTTGAGAAACCAAATAATGTCAACATACCTATATGGAGATCAGATCTGTGACCCTGACCTCATTTTGCACCTTTTTAAAAAACTAACTGAGGTTATAAAGAACTTAATGCCCACATAAATGGACTGGAATTACTGAATCATACTTCTGTAACACCACAATCTTCTTGATTGCCACAATAAAGATTTTCTTGTGCTTTTGATAAGACATATATACTCTATAATAAAATACTTGACATATTTATATGGTAGTATTCATCATCCTGTAATTTTTTTAATCTAATGACTTAATTATAGTTTGTTTTTGTTTTTTCTGTTCTGAAGCAATCTCTTGCTTTTTTTTAGAGAGTAGACACAGAAGAACCATCCTCAATTTCACAGAAATTTGAACATCACTTTACATTGCTCAACTTTTCTCTAGGACTTAATTGTATGTACCACATTATCTTGATTTCATTTTAGCTACATTAGAAGTATTAATGACTAAAGACAGAGGAAAGAAATTATCAGCAAACTGACCAATTCTGAAGGGTTTCTTTTGGTTTTGTTTTCTAAAATAGGAATTATTGAAGAACAATTTAAAATTTAGCTCTATGTCTTCACTGAACAAAGGGATGTATTCCATATTTTATGTTCCATTAGTGCCATAATTTACACTGTATTTTTAGCAATACTTCAGTAATTGAGCAGTAAGTTGACATTCTTATTTTTCTTGTTTTAGCAGTAGGAACTCTTCTAAGAATTATTTCTTTTAAATAAGAAGGATACACTAAACAAATGGATAATTCATATTTCAGACTAGATGATTTTCTCTAAACAAATTATACAAAATGGAGAGTTGAAACAAAACATCTTTGATGTAAAATAGCTATCCTTCCATTTAATTCCTGTTAATTTATTACTTCTCTGTGAGAGTGGAGATAAAACTGATTTAAAATGATTCTTTAAGATAAATAGATAACATTCTTATCCAGTTATATCATTAGGGTATTCTGAAATTTTGTCTAATCAACCCATCTTAAAATTTTTAGGAAAAAGGGGTTTCTTTTCATACTAGCCTTTCATACTAGCCTTATAGGGTAAAGAAATGTATTGTGTGTTAGGCAAAGCAAACCTGAAGTTAACCTTGGGATATTTTCAGAGAAAAAGAAAAATATCAATGTACTGTTTCAAAGTCAGCCTTGTATTTGATGTGAAACAGAAATGTATTTGTCTGGATTGAGGTTAGGATTTTCAGTTTTTCCACTATATCATCTGCATCTTTTGCATCCATTTCCCATCTGTATTACACATGTATTTCACAGGTTTTCTGAGAAGCTGATTCATCTAATATTTGCTTGCTTACTATGTAAGCTAATGTAGAGGAGAGGATACAAAGAATAAAACTTGGTAATAAATTGGTTACCATCAGTAGTAAAATCAAAATCATTCTCAAAGCTTTGAAGAATTAGACTTCAAGTTTGATCCCTTCTAAGTATGAAAAAGATAAAATTTTCCTTATCTTTCAAATGGTTTCTCTAAATAATGTGATGACTCATATTTACTCTTCAAACACTTATTTAGTGTCCTTTGGTAAAATATGACACATCACCAGATTAGTTGATACTATGGTAAAATCCTTCTACAATGTAATTTGTTATGATAATTTTAACTTTACTTATATATGTGTGTGTGTGTATATATACGCACACATTCATTAGCGAGCTAAGAAAGGCAGAAGTGTGAACTGTACAAAGTATTGACTTTTAGAATCTTTTAAGTACAAGTAGACTACTTAATATTATTTTAACATTTTTATACTCTAATTTCCAAAATCAAAATCTTGAATTGCAAACAGGAAAAAGCTGTTTCTGCAGTTTACCAGTATCTTGGAATACTTTGTGTCATTGAGAAGTCACAACTTACTAAACATGTTATAAAATACAAATTGATTCTTGCTGTTGGTTGCAAATATTATAGCAACTTAATATATAATCTGAGGTCTGTAATTGCCATGACTGTTCCTAACACAGGTAAGTTCTGTCACAAACTCGTGTCCACAATATTTTATTTTGCTATAATTGATTTTTTCTTTTTTTTTTTAATTGATTGTTAATAGCTGAGGAAAGTAGGCTGTGGGCTGGGTTTAGACTTTTGAGTTGGTATTTAACCTATTTCAAATATGACTGAGATTTCTAGATGGACTAACTACCAATTTACATTTCCCACAGCACACATTCTGCTTATGAAAGGTGTTCCAAAATAGCTATCATACTCTAGAAAATAGGGCAATGGATTGAGATGCTGTTCTCATTAGCCTTTATGGTATAGTAGCTTCTAGCCATGACAGTTCCAGGCATATTCCCTGGTGGCACAAAAATCATTGAAGCATTTTTTTAAAGCAAGGGCCTTCAGCAATGATATTCTTACCTCATTAAGCACAAAACAAGTTCTACTTTTGTTTGCTTTAGTAAAAATGTAATAATGGTAAAGAATGTACCTATAAAATGGGTTAAGCGTTTTGGATGTGGGAAAGGAATAGTCACAGGGAAGAAGAGTCTTAATTTTCATAGTTATGTACTTAATTTACAAACCCCTTTAGAATGTCAAGCAAGCCAGCAGGGCTACCATACTACAGCAAGTGGTAAAAGCATAAAATGAAAACAGCTTATGTGCTGTTTTAAGATACAAAGCAGTCACTAGTTCAGAAGCCAGTGAGACATAAGGGCTACTGGACAGAATGTGGGGTGGAGTGATCCCTGTGAAATACCAAAAACACTAATATCCACAGTTCTGAAATTTAATTTTATTTTAATACACTAAATATAGTGACAATTCATATTTTTAGAAAGCACATACTATTAACATTCAAATAAGGCATCATAAAAAGTTTTGTATAAGAATGAAATGCTTTAATTCTCTTAAAAATATGGTCCACAGTTGAAAAAGGTCAACATCGAATTTTTAAAAATCAAAACATAAGGCTCCTCCCCCCTAATACATAAGAATTACTGGCATTTGTATTTTATATAGCCTATACAAGAATTTGCTTGATTTAGCACCAAGTAAGAGTAAATGTATGCCATTGACAATACAATGGGTTTTATCCAGCTCTCACATCGTCCCACTTTTTCTACCAGGTCTCAGCACAGAAGCATGCAACCTGTTGCCCCACTAAAGAACAAAGTCATTTTAATTTTAAAATGGCTGCTCTGATTACACTCAGCAGCAATGTTCTCTCTTAGAATGGTAGTGAATGGTAAGCAAGAGTCAACTTTTTTGATCAGGAATAAAAAACTTCAAAACAAACTCAGTCTGGTCCTATTTGACCTGTCATGTTCTTTTAACTGCTGTTTACTATTGTAAACGCTATTACGTCAATGGAATCTTCCCCAGGTATTTCTATTGTCTAATGGCAAAGTATGCTTACTCTGTAGTGCTGTGGATTTTCTTTAATTCTTTTTTTCTTACACATTTTTTTATTCAAGGTAGATCACATCTTGGTCAAAAAGAAAAAAATGGCAAGTAAATCCCAAAGCACACATTTCTTAACCTGAGTAAAAATGGAAAAATGAATTTTTTTTAAGAATTTTAAAGTACATTTTCCTTTGAAGATTCATTTTCTTTTGTAAGAATTTAAAATGACAATTTCTAACAAGTCATGTAATACTTTATGCTAAGTGATAGGTTGTTAGAACAAACTGAAAATTCTGAGCAAAGTTAAAAGTACATTTAGCAACAAGTACAAGATATGACTAGCTTGTATGTTTGTTTTTTTAAGATTTGTTTATATAGGCATATAGACCTAGGGTACAGGCAGAGGTACAGGGGTAGCGAGAGGATTCACCAGAGACAGAGAGGGGAGCAGAACAAGCAGGTCCACGAAGTACACTGCTGAGGGGAGAAGCGGGCGGGTCAGGAGAGGTCTGCCACACCATGTGAGTCACCTTCCTGTCTGGGGATTGAACTCGCGCTAAAGCCAGCTTCATAGTGCTGTGCTTGCCTGTTGCGCCACCAGGGAAGGCCCACTTATATGTTTCTTAATGTAAAGGAAGCAATGAATTTACATTGATCTGTACCTCAAGTTGTCTCTTTTTTGGATTATAGACTATCTCAAAATTATGAACCACAGTGCTAAAAATACCTTTATTGGCATCAGTCCATACAAAAGCCTTCATGGAATACTTTCCACAAAAGACCTGGAATTTTTTCTTTATTGTTCTAGAAAAGTAAGGAAGCCTATCAACCACTTATTTTTGCTGAACAAAAGTTAGAATATTACTAATTGCTCTTCAATTACACCCCAAAAGTTTTTTCCAAAGTTTAGACATCTCTGATGTTTTTTAACTGTATGCCCATAGAGAACTGTATAAAACACACTAGACAATTTTAAAAGATAAATCTCAGGCTCTGATTGATTCATTTGGCCAGCCTTAATTTCCAGAATAAAATAAATTGAAATAAAGCTAATATAATTTTCATAGAATTCATACATGCCAGAATCTTAAGGAGCTTCTCAGTAATTTTACACACTTTTTCTCATGGAGTAACTGATGCTTTCTGGTTTATCTGTGGAACTTTTGTTTGTAGGAAGGCATATACGTGGGGCCAGATCTTGTTGGTTTCTGTTCCGGAGAATGTTTCCAACACCCCTTTTTTCCTAAAGATGACAAAACAAACAAAAATATTAGCCTTCTAATGAGTTTTTTTCAGTCATTTTTAAAGGATGATTAATATAGACTTAAGAATCTCAGTAGTTACAGGTTTATATAATGAAGAATCACCTGACTTCACTGAAAAACCCAGATTTCAGTTGCAGTGGAACCTCGAGCTTATAGAAATGGTCACCTAAAAAATAACACCTATCATTTATTCAACACATACTCTCTACTAAGTGCTTTACATATAATAGTTTGTTAATGACTTCCAAAGTTCAGATTTAACTATATCAGAGATGTAACTTTGCCCATATCATAAAGCTGAGCCTACCAGCCACCAGGACACACCATTGGCTTTGTCAGCTTACCCACTTGGCAAAAAAGCATTCTACCACTTTATTATACTTCCTTCTTTTTGCCTAAATTTATTTTCCTCTTTATGCTACCCTGAATTTCAGAAGTAAGGGGAATAAAAAGGTGGTTTTTATTGTTCCCTATTTGTTTCTTCATTTTTTTCCTAAGCAGATTTGTCTGGCTTGTCACCAAATCAGGAGTCAAAGTCTGTTTTCTTCAGTTTCTTGGGGGCAGTATGGTAAGGAGAATCAGGATGCTGGGGTTTCTTTTCAAAACACAGATTTCTTCCAGAGATTCTGGTATTCCTCTTACCGTCTGCCAACCCACTCACATAGTCTGGCTTAAGGTTTCATATGAGCAACTCAAGAACTGAGTTGCTTCTAAAAACCAGATCAATCCTCCTGCAACACTTCACAAAGTTTGCAGAGACTTCACTGGGGACAATAGCACTCTTTTTTTTTTTTCCACACCTCAAAATTTGCCACAATTTAACTTAAATAATTCTCACTGTTTTCTTAGTAAATACAGTATCCTTTAAGTATTAGAAGTCCTTCTAAAAACACAGGCATCTCAATGCTTTGATAAAGCACGAGCTTTGGTAAGTCTCTTGAAGAACCCCTTTAAAATGAAGTGTTGTCACTAAGTTAATACAGAGGCACCTATTCGATCCTATAGCTACACCTTGGATGAACATTTGTCACTTTAAATTATATGTAGTAAAATGGAATTAGTTTCAATTATTGGTTCTCTTAAGGGCACCATGTTTGTAAATACGATTATTCTTATCAATGTCCCTATAAGAGAGAAGAGTTTTAAAACAACTGATTTTTTTAAAAATAATACTACCTACCACTAAAGTGGTTGTTGAAATACCACTTTCAGACTTTGGGTAAGTCCAGTTCTAGTTCTAAGGGTGGGAAATTAGAAGGAAAGTCTTCAATTGATGGCAAGAGGTTGGAAAAGAAAAGTCAGAAGAAAGACTGTGCTGCTGCCTCTAATTGCTATTCTAAAGCCTTTTCCAACCTCCCACATTTTACAAAACTAATCCCCATAGCTACTGTATTTCCACTGCATTTGTTTAGCTCTGTTAATAGCTTTACAATGCTATCACCCAGGCAACAGTGTGTTTTTCCTTCAGGTTGTTTTTAAATGACTAATAAACTTCTGGGAAACACTCTTCACCAAATGCAATTCGAGAGCGGTTCCCACATCCCATGGATGGACATGATCAGAGCTTTTTGGTGCCAAATACAAAACATTCGCTGGGTTAACTGATAAGAATGTTGAGTGGATCACACAAGGACAGCCCATCTGAAACTGAAACCAACACAGGAAAGTGGAGGCGAGAGTAAAGCCATGCCTGATGACACCATTTGAACAACTGGATCAAATGATCTACCTTTGCACCTTTACATGATCAATAAATTTCCTTTTTGCTTAAACTAGGTTTCCTGACTGATCTACACATATTGTAAGATAAATATTGTCTACCTAGCTCTCTGCATTACCCATATATAGAAAGAGAGTTTCTTGGGGCCCTGGCAAGGACTGGGTCTATTGTGTGTATGTGTAGAATTAGGGTGCAGACCAGAGGTGCAGGAGTTGCAGGAGTGTGCGAGGATTCACCAGAGACAGAGTGGGGTGCAGAACAGACAGATCTCCTGAAATACAATGCTAAGGGGAACAGTGGGTGAGGCAGGAAAGGTCTGCTATGTCATGTGGTTAGTTCCCTGGCCTGGGATGGAACCAGGCTTTTGTGGGCCTTCACAGACTTAACCCCCTTGGGCCAGGACTAGGTTGGCTGGACCCAGGGCACAGTGTCAACAAGAGTAAATAATATAATAGCTAACAGTGAATGATTTAAAAGTGCCCAGGGCTAAATTAAGTCTTTACATGAACCCTTCCCTTAATTCCCTTAACATCCCCAATAAGGTAGATAGTATTTAACATTGTTCTGGTGGCACAAAGGTCAAATACCTTGCCTGGGATTTCACAGGTGATAATCTACAGAGCCAAGCTCATACAAATCAAAGTAACACCTACTGTAGAAAGTAAATAACCACCTCCCTTGTAGGTAGTATTAGTATTATTTTTTAAAAAATCCTCCAGAATTATAAAAAAATAAAAAAAATAAAAAAAAATAAAAAAATAAAAAATAAAAAAAAAAATCCTCCAGAATTAACTATTAAAACCATTTGAAGATTACTGCTTCAGATCTTCCTTCATATTTACCCTAGTACCACAGTAACAATAGCAGCTAATAATTACACTGTGCTTACTATGTGTCAGACACTGTTCTAAGAATTATCTTTTAACCCTTTAGTCTCACCCCCATTTTACAGAGGGAAAAACAGAAGTTAAGAAGAGGTTAAGACTATTAATAAATGGTGAGTTGGGATATAAATTTAGTCAGTTTTGGGCCTTCCTGGTGGCCAAGGGGTTAAGTCTCAGCACTAAGTATCTATCAGCAGCCACTGCAGCATGAGTTCAATCCCCAGTCAGGGAGCTGACCCATATAGCACAATAGATCTCTTCTGTTTCATCTGCCTCTCAGAAGTGTATTTCAGTCAATCCACCTATTATGTCCCCCACTCTATCTTAGGTGAATCCTCTCACCCTTCCCCCACCCTCTCACACTTCTGGCCTATACCCCAGGTCTTGTATAAATAATTAAATAAATTTAATAAGTCTTGCTCCAGAGTCTAGTCTAACCACCACATTGTATGGTCTTGACATTAAAGCACTATTCAGAACATGACTGAATAAAAGGAAATGGGATATAATCAGTTCCCTGCAGGAGAAGAAAAGGCTGAGTAAGTGAATGGAATTCATTGCCTGAGTCAAATACTAGTTCAGTATTTGTTGTGGAATATGAATTCCCTGAAAAACAATATTATTTTGGAATATAAGTTTTTAAAGACTTAGTTATTTTACAAATAATTTATTCATATAAATACTGTTTTTACAAATAATAATTATCAGGACTAAATGCCATTGGAGATTCTTCTGTGATATAGTATGCTTTGTTGTCATAGGTAGTAGGCATTATTAGGTTTGCCTACCACACATTACTCCAGCCCTCCCTCCAGCCAGTCAGTAGAGTTTGAATGAAATCGATACACACCCAAGCTCCAGGTACAGACCAATGTGTGTAAATCCTCTCATTCCAGTGACTTATTCAGGAATGGGGTAAAAAATGTCATTCCCTAGTCATAGTAACTGTTCAAATTGGTTTCATTTGTGTGGTGCTCAGGGTATTTGTCCACTGGAAGAAAAGTGATCCCTCTATGCCGCGTGAAAGAGTGTGCCCAAACTGTTCCTGACAAGTGTTGTAACTAAACAAGAAGCCTGAGGACAAAGCCAATGCATGAAGGAAAGCAAAGCTGAGAGAAGTGGTAAGACTGTTCAGACTATGTTGTGGCTGAGCCCAACCCACCTTCTAAACTTCTGTAACACTAATAAATTTCCTTCGTTGTTTAAATCAATCTGAATTGGATCTTCCGGCATTTTAGTATTTTGGTTTTGCACAGGTTTTGGTTCAGCAAAACCTGAACTAGTGCTTCACCATGTAACAAATTCTAAAAAGCGACAGACTCACTGGTAGTATTCCAGAACCGGCTTTGTTTGGGCTTCATAGGTCTTCAGTCTCTTGATAACTGTTTCTGGTCTGTCATCCTCACGTTGAATGAGAGGTTCTCCAGTCAAATCATCAATGCCCTAAACAGAAATTAGAAGAGGGTAGGATCAATTTATTTCTGAAGGTTATTTGCATACACAGTTAAATGCTCCCTAAGCAGACATCTCTATGCAAGCACCAAGCACAAAAGTGTGCTTTTAAGTAAATGGAACCAAATCCAAATTCACATCATTGCAATATAGAGCCAAGCTGACATAGTGTAGGTAAATTAAATTTCAAGCTAACTGAAGGAGCTGTCTAATGTCTCGTTTAAACAGCTGGACTAAATTGGTAGCTGACAGTCACTGCCTAACATCGTATTTAAACCTGCCCCACCAAACTGACCAAAGGTGCATACTTAACAAAAGGTATTGATAAATGATTATTTCACAATTTCCTGGAAAGTGGGAATTGCTGAGGGTCACGTATACATAGATGATGAAAGAAAAAGGATCAAGGTCTCATTAGTACACATCCATCGGTGGAGACTCAAGATGGTAATGAGACAAGCATGTATGAAGAAGCAAGCAACCCATCTGCACATGCCCCATGTAATCTAGCCCCAAAAACTATGAACTATGTCCGTATTCCTGTACTCTTCCTCCCCAGTCCACCTCTTAGAAACACTTTCCTAACTACCTTTGGAGAGTCAGCCTGGAAACTCTCTTCCAGTGATGCCTCCCTTGCACCTGAAAATAAGTTAAAAGCCTTGTCTGAATGTAATCTGTTTTACCTCCTTGCTAATTTTTTTTTTACAAGGGATCAGAACTCTACAAAGTTCCTAGGTCGGTAACAGACTCAGAAAGTATTTCCACTGTGTAAGTCACCTACTAAGAGTACGAGGTTTTTCAAACATCTAATAAATAATTTATTATATTGGGTTGTCGGGAAAGTCATATTTTTTGTTTTTCAAGCAAAGATGCATACTGACTTTATAATCCAATATTTACATACAAAGAATCAGCTATCAACAGGAATCTCAACTACAAGTCCCAAATATGCCTTAGTGTCACTAATCCTCTGCCCCAACCCCTAGACATAACCTGACAGGGAGTAGGACATCAGTTAGTACTTCTGAAGGAATAACAAACCCCCATTGTTCCTGGGGGTGCACTTATTACCAAGCTCAGTGGACTTCACTAAGTACCCTGGGAATATGCCCTCAAGAGTTCTGGTCAGGTGCAGGATTTCCAATGTAAAAAAAAAAAAAGTATATGAAAGCAAGAGAACTATGGACAATCTGCTCTTTAAAAGGCCATGTCATTCCATAGCAACTACTCACCAGAGTTTTGGGAGGGTTGAATTCCATGTTGTAAACTCGCCCACTTGCTGGATGAATCCAGCGAGCAGTGAGGCGCTGCTTAATGACCTCAAAAGGCACATTCAGATTAATCACTGTGTCTATCTGATAAGTTCTGTCCAGAACTTCTGCCTGTGGAAGTGTCCTTGGAAAACCTTTACAAATTAAAAATGAAAGGAAAGAAGGGGAGCAAAGGGAGAAGGAAGATAATTAACACTGAGCCATTTGAACAAGACGAATAATATTAAATAGCTGATCACAAATATAGGGCAACTTTGAGAGTCAGTTGTATGTGTGGACCTCACTGGGCCAGTGTTGCCCAGGTATTTGGTTAAAGGTCATTTTGGGTGGGTCTTTGAGAGTGTTTTTAGAAAAGACTGACACTAAGTATACTGAGTAATGCACATTGTTCTCCCTAGAGTTTGGGAAACAACCCTTATGTGAACCACTGAAGCTCTGAACAGAACAAAGCCAAGCTGCTCTGTTCTCTTAAGTAAGGAGGAACTCCTCTATCTGGACTGCCAGGGAGCTACAACACCAGCTTTTCCTTCTGTCAGACTCATACTGAAACTAGCTCTTCCTGGGTCTGAAGCCTATTGGTTTTTAGCCTTCCATCTTCTGACTCACTATGAAAATCTTGGGATTTGTCAACTCCATAAACACCTGAGCCAAGACCTACCAATAAAGAACTCTTGAGAAACTAAAGATCAACTTAGATCTTTAGCTCAAGACTGTGCCACATCTCTCACTGGGGGAAGATAACAGCCCACTGTAACTCACTCTCCAGTCTTCTTCCTTTCCTGATGATCTTCCCACTAATAAATTATTTTTAAAGGAGGGGGGAGAAGAATAAGGCACAGCTGAAGGGAGCCTGGAATAAACGCAGGGTAACAGTCTCTTCCATTCAAATAAAGAAACATCCCAGAGAAGACTGACCCAACTCATCAAGATGGTTAGTGGAACAACTCAGATTTCTGCCCACAATTAACCCATGAAGTGCTCATTCTCCTGCCTGCACTTAGCATGCTCATAACATTCCACTTACCATCCAATAGCCAACTATGTTGGGTGAGATTTTTCAGCTCATGAAGAGCCAACCGAGTCATGACATCATCTGGGATGAGCTTCCCTTGGTCAATGAAAGTCTTGGCCAACACACCAATTTCTACAGCAGAGGAGGGAATCTGTAAGTGCATTTTATCCCATTCCAGGTCTTAGGAACTGGATGCCTTTTTAAAAAGGATCTCTGGATAGCACATTCAAATGAAAATATGCATCATCAACTTTTATGATAAAAACTGTTACTGTTACACAATAAAATAATTTATTTACAAAATAAATAGGCATAATCTCATATGTAAAAGTAAACCTAAATGTGTATGGAGAAAAAATGGGAAGTTATAGACAAGTGTTAACAGTAATCATCTAAGTATGATAGAAATTATGATTTTTAAATTTTATTTATTTTTGCATAGAGGAATTTGAGAGTTCAGAAATAATCCCTCATATTTACAGTCAGTTCACTTTCAACAAGCATGCCAAGACACACCATTAGGAGAAAGATTAATTCTCTCAACAAATGATGCTGAGAGAATGGAATATTGAGATAAAAACAAAGTTGGGCTGGTCTTCCTGCCCACTTGTGTGCAAATGTCTTTTACTTTTTTGTCCCTTTTCTAATAAACCTGCTCTTTAAATATAAAAAAAAAAAATTGGACCAATACCTAGCACTGTATATAAAAATTACTATGTGTCAAAACCTAAATGTTAAGACCTAGCCTACAAAACCCCTTAAGAAAACAGATATAAATACTCAAAACTCTGTATTAAGCAATGGTTTCTTACATATGAATCCAAAAAGCATGAGCAACAAAGAAAAAAAGTTAAATTGGACTTCATTAAAATTAATAGCCTTCATTTAAAGAACACCATTACAAAAGTGAACAGATAATCCACTGATTGAGAGGAAAATCTTATGTCATACATCTGATAAAGAATTCCTATGTAGAACATCTAAAGAATTCTTTTAATTCAACAACAAAAACAGTCCATTTTTTAAAATGGTCAAAGCATCTGAATATAAAAATGGCTGATACAAACATGAAAAGATGTTCAACATCATTAGACATTAGAGAACCACAACTGAAACTACAATGATACACCACTTCAAATTCACTAGGGTGATTATAAAACAAGTATTGGCAAGAATGTTTGAGATTAAAAGCCTCATGTATTACTAATGGGATTATAAATAGTTTGGAAAACAGTATGTCAGTTTTTCAGGTTAAATAGTTATCATGTGATTGAACAATTCCAACATTAATATAAACCTAAGAGAAATAAAAAACACAGTCCACATGAAAACCTATATGTGAATGTTCACAACAACATTATTCATAAAAACCAAAAACTGGAAACACAGATGTCCATTAAGTGATGAATCAATAAATAAACATGGCATATTTGAACAAAATTTGGTTACTCAGCCATAAAAAGAAAAATATTATTACATTTTAGAAAATGAATTTGAAAAAACTATACCGGATAAAATAATCCAGATACAAAAGACCATTTTTGTATTGTATCATTCCATTTATTTGTAATATATAGAAAAGGCAGATCTATACCATGAAAATGAATATTAGTAGTTGCCTATGCCGGGAGTGTAGGGGGAAAAGGGAAAGTGACTGAAAAACGAATACAATTCCTTTTTAAAGAAAAAAAAATATTCTAAAACTGGTTGTGGGAAGGGAATGGCTGTACAACTCTGAAATTAAAGAACACTGAATCATAAACTTCAAGAGAGTTAATTTTATGGTATATGATATATGTCTCAATGAAATTTTATGGTATATGAAATATAGCTCAACAGTTTTTAAAGAAAGAAGCCAAGTAAGTAAAACACAAGGGAAAAAAGCACTAATAATTCCATCACTACTCAACTACTGTTAAAACTGATAACATAAAACATCCTGATTTGTTTTGTATGTGAACATAGTTACATGCATAGTTAATAATTTTTTCTTTTATCATTATCAACTATCTAAATCAATAAATGTTTATTCATAATAGTAAAATCTGAGGCCTATAATGCTTCTAATGGAATTTATTTAAAAGAAAAAACAACCCCTTCATCAAAGTCTAAACAGTTTGCTTATTAGTACATTTAAAATTTTTTACCCTTCTCCCCAAATTATATAAAAGATACTTGCATAGCACATTCTTTGCACATTTGGTAAATTTTCATTCCCTTACTTACCTATAAATTAATGTTACATCTAAATAAATTAATAAAAATACTTTTACACATTTGATTTGAAAATTAAGCTATTGGGAGCTTCCAAACCTCTAAAACACATTTAAAAAACAGCTTAAAGTAAATTATTGAGGAAAGGTTATTTTTCTAAAGTTACAAATAAACATAAGAAAGGAAGGTTAGAAGAAAATAGGAAAGCTTAAAACCAGCTTTTAACTTTAAGGATACTAGTAAAAAAAAAGTCCAAAACACGAAGACGTTAATCTGAAATGTTGACTATATTAAATAGCCATTTTTCAGCCTTTACCCTTTTTTAAAGTCTGGTCATTTTATAACATCACTGATGATATCATTTTATTTTTCAAATAACTACACTATTCAACAAGCTATGAATGCCATGATCTTTTTTTTTGCATTGAAGAACTAGGGTGTAGGCCACAGGTACAGGGGGTAAAAAGATTCGCCAGGCCCTCCCTGGTGGCGCAGCGGTTAAAGCACTGCACTGAGAAGCTAAAGCCACTTCCGCATGAGTTCAATTCCCGCCTGCCCCGGAGGTGACCACATGGCGTGGCAGACCTCTCCTGACCCGCCCGCTGCTCCCCTCAGCAGTGTGCTTCCTCGATCTGCCTGTTCTGCTCCCAACTCTGTCTCTGGTGAAGCCTCTCACCGCCCCTGAGCCTGGCTTGTACCCCAGTTTTGTTTGCAAAAATCTTAAAAAAAAAAAAAAAGATTCGCCAAAGACAGAGTGGGTGCAGAACAGGTGGATTTACTGAAATAGACTGCTAAGGGGAGCAGTGGGGAGACAAGAGAGGCCTGCTGCTCCATATGTGGGTTAGCTCCCTAGCCGGAGGATCAAACTCAGGCTGCAGTGATGACAGCACTGACACTCCCTTGGCCACCTGGGAGGTTCCTGAACGAAGTAACTTATCTCAAATATAAAGTACACTCACCAATGTCAAAGCACAAACCCACTTTGGGGAAGTAAACTACATACCACCCTAATGGACTTCTAGACACAATAATAAAGTGGCGTCCCAGAGGAATGCCCTAGGTGGATTTCTGAGAACCTTATTTGAACATCTAGACACACTGACCCTGGTCAAATAATTCCAAAAAAAAAAGTACAAAATTGTCAACTGAGTTGCGAAGCTGAGCACATACCTATGTATAGATAAATCCATTTGTTGAGATGCTGAATTCAATCCGGGCACTGGCTGCAAAGTAATCTGCTCCTCTTACTGCTGGGAGCAGTCCACAGAGCTTGAACATAGTAGGCTCCCACAGAGTGCTCACATGAACATTAGAGGCTTGAGCTTAAAAATCCCTCTGCCTGCACTAGACCAGCACCCTCATCTGCTTAGACATTGGCTTGGTTCGTTAACAACTGACTATGTTTGACAAGTATGACTTGGAGATGCATCAAGACTGCTGTTGTTTATTAATAGATTGCTTGCCATGTGAAGCTGTAAACTTCCAGTTCACTCATTCTTATGATCAGGTTAGCTGGTTTTTACTTAAAACAAGGTATCGTCAACTATTTATTAGTTTAATAAACTGCAAATAACCTGACACTGATCAAACACACTTGTGTATAAAAAATTAATTTGCTCAAACCAATCACCTCCTAACAAGCTAAAACTTATTAGAGCAGCTATGAAGTACAAAAAGGGGTCTGACCAACCTATAAAAAATAGTTCTCTGGTCTCTCCCCGGTGGCACAATGGGTTAAAGCACCACATTATGAAGCTCTTCAAAGCCACTGCAACAAGAGTTCGATACAGCAAGGGAGCTGATCCACACTGCTAGGCAGACATCTCCAGACCTCTCCTGACCAGCCCACTGCTCCCCTCAGCAGTGTACTTGTCAGTAGGTCTGTTCTGCTTCTCTGACTCTGGTGAATCCTTTCACCCACCACACCTCTGGCCTGTAGCCCTGTATGCATAAATAAATGAAGCTTAAAAAAAAAGTTCTCTTTTGTATACCTATGCTAAGAGAAAGGGCTGCAGAGAGTTAACCTAGTTCCTGGCAACACTAGCATGTTATATAATAAACAACATAAACCTTTACTTTTAAAACATGTTGAAACAAAACAAAAGTAGGAGAATGACACGGAGTAAGTTAAATGGTAGCTTTATACCTGATCAAGGAATTTTAAAGAGAACCTTTCTCAAATAATAAAGACTTGAGTCAATATAATGGTTATGTCTAGAAGGCAGAAAAGAGTTGTGACTAGTGGCGAACACACAGCGAGCCCCAAAGTACTATTTTTTTTTTTGCTTAGTGATGGGTAAATGAGTGTACAATTTTATTCTTCTAACTCTACATAGAAATTATAATACCTTCATGCATGGGCTATTTCAATAATTATATTGAAAATAAAAAACTCAACTATTAGTCTTCCCCTCGACCATTGCCCTAATTCTCACCTCACTGAAGCACCAAGAGAGTTCCTTCCCACTCCAAGTCTATAATAGTCAACTTCCCATTCAATCTGTTTCAGGACAGAATCTAAACTGGAGGAATGTTTAAAGGCACACCTATACTCTCAGGTGAACATGATAAAAGTTGTGTTAGACATACAAAGTCTTGGGAGCTGACAACACATTGCAGAGATCTATTGCAAAGTGAGAACAAATCAAATTCAAACGGGTTAGCCATCTAGTCCAGAGGCACGTCTTTGAGAAGGTCTAAGCTATAATGCAGTTTCTCATGTTGGGCAATCACACTGCAATCTTATAATATCTGTCATAGCTAAACTATTACTTACTATATGTCTTATTTTAAAGTGATTCAGCTTTTTAAATGACTAAGTAATAATGTTCATGAAATTAAAGGTTTGGTGTACTGGTGGCATTTGAAATACACATTGGAAAAACTGATGAGAAATTCTTTTTACCTAAAATTATCTTATGAATCCCAATATAGGAAATACCACAATATTAGAGTAACTGAACTGGCATGGGAGTCCCAGGCCTTCACCCAGTCTCTTAGTAATGTCAGCTTGTTATTCGAGCAGGTTCTTTAACCACTCCCAAACTCAAGATTCCTTATCCTTAAATTAGAGGGTTCAACTAGGGGTCACATTCACATTTCCTGACTCCATAGTGCAACTGTTGTCTATGGAAACTCCGAGTTTGCTACTATCAACCAGTTATGTCCAGCGTCTTAATCATATCTGCTGTGATGATTTTAAACTTTAACTATAAAATATAATTCAGGTTATGTAACACAGCACCCTCACTGAATGATAGCTGGAAAGTAGGTTGGCACACCACTTCTGTAAATGTATCATATTTATAGAAACTCCACACTAGGGATTTATTTGAGGAAAATAAGCAGAGATACTGCCAAATGTTCATGTACAAAAACAGCAATAAGAGTATTTATTACAGCAAAGAATGAACTAACAACATAAATATCCAACAATGGGAAATCATAAATTAAAAATTGTTCAATCTTCATGAAATATTGCTTAATGGTGTGTGAACATGCTCACAATAAGTGAGAGAAAAGGTCTCTAAGCAAATTTAGAATACAACAAGTTTGCAGACACATACAAAGGCAACAGAGGGGAAAAAAAGGGAAAAAAAGCATCACAAGCTCTATTATAGTTGTCTCTGGGGTGGTGGAATTGCAGAGGATTTTCATTTTCTTTTTTATATTCTCAAGATAAATTTTCTTTCCTTTATTCTTACCTTTGGTATCAACAACACAGCAATCTTTTAAAATAGAATACTATACCTCCCTTGTGGCTCTAATCCAGTGGGAAATATCCAATCCATTCACAATATTTATTGAGAATATAGTCTTACTACTGAAACACAGAACAGCTGGAATAACAATCTCATGACACCTCCCTAAATTCCATTATCTAGTTTTTGTTGTTAGTTTTTTTAAAAACTGCCTATAAAACCCAAGAATGAGCAGACTCCAAACCAAACATCTTCCCTATAATCCTCTCTGTGTCCTCTAGCCTCCTTTTCATGTTTTGGAGTCAGAGAAAAAAGGCAGCAGATAGCATGAGATATTAAGGATAGACTCAATTGTCTCTTAACTTTTAAAAAGTGTACTTAGGGCCCTCCCTAGTGGCACAATGGGTTAAAGCACAGCACTATGAAGTGATCAGCAGTCAGATCCTGGCCAGGGTGGTGACCCACATGGCATAGTGTGGCAGATTTCTCATGACTTGCCCACTGCTCTCCTCAGCAGTTTATTTCAGTCAATTTGCCTATTCTGCTTCCCACTCTCTCTGGCGAATTCTCTCACACCGTACCCACCCCCCACTTCTGGGTGTATATACATAAATACCATGACACTCTTCCCCTCTGAAGAATCAGACTGAGGTAAGAAATGAGAGGGGCTTTACTTTTCATTTTATGCAATTCGGTCCTGCTTCCAATACTGTTTTACCTTGTGTATCTGTATGTATAAATAAGTAAATCTTTAAAAAAATAAAATAAAAAGTTTACTTATTTGGGTTAAATTTTTTTAAATGTTTAATTATGTTTTCACAAGTTAATATATCTCAAAATTATGCTTAACAGCTCAGTTGATTTTCAGGAACTTAAAGTTCCCATAAAAACTACTCTTTCCATTATGGACAAGCTCGCCCCAAGGAAGTACAGAACTAGAGACTTTTTATTGTTACCTAATTACTTCAATACATTACATCAAGAATGTTTAACCAGCAAATGAAACAATTGAACCTTTTCAAGAAGTTTAACAAAATACAAATACATTATGATTTTTAAAAGATAAATATTAGCGGAGAAAAGTAAAAATAATTTTCCAGATAAGTTGCTGAATCAAAGAACTCCAAGAGACAAATTAAAGTCACTATGGTGTTCCTTTTTTTTTTTAATTTGTTAGTATTTGAAACAAACAAAAAAAGCCCACTTCAACATATTCTACACCCCCATAAAAGGGGGTTGGTTAAATAAGTCATAGAAGATTCAACAAATAGATATCTAAACAAACACTGAGAGAATCAACTGGATTCCTGTATTTTCATATGTAAAGATACTCCAGGTGTAAAGTGAAAACAGACAGTTCAGAATACATATACTATGATTACATGCTACATAGTGCATATACATAAATACACATTTCTGAAAGAAATAACATGACACTCTTTCCCTCTGAAGAATCGGACTGAGGTAAGAAATGAGAGGGGCTTTACTTTTCATTTTATGTAATTCGGTCCTGCTTCCAATCCTGTTTTACCTTGTGTAAGCATTACTTCTATAGTTTAAAAAGCAACTTCAAAATGGGCTCTGCTTCAGTAAACAAAGATTAACACTTAAATATATATATATACATATATACAGACATATATATGTATATATATATATATATACACACACACACACACACACACATATAATGAGAGAGTTTAAAAATCACCCTGTTGTTGAGTTTTAAAAAATCTTTCTTAAAATGTAATTCAGCACCTAAAGCGTACAGTTTGTTGACTGGATTTTGTGCTGAGTTATAAGAATTTACTTGGCATGAGAAACAAAACAATCCTTTACACAGCCAAGCACAATAGCTTTCATGTTTAAGAAATCTCTGGAGGTATCAAAAGATCTAAGTCAATTTTGTGAGTGCATACTGGGCCTTCAAAGACTGGGAGAAAGGTCAAATCACAAAATCCAACAGTTTAACACTAAAAAACTGTTAAGAAAAAAAAAAAAGCAAACCCTAGCAGGTCAAACACCAGATTTCCAGGTGAAAGGGCATGTGAAGAATAAACCACAGCTCGATGGACTCTTAGGACAAGTGATTTCTTTTCATCTTTGAAAGTCTAAACATGCCTTTAGTTCCTAGTCGTTCCCTCCGCAACTCGCCCCGAAGATCCAGAGAAACCATAGGTTTCCGGGAGCAGAGTAGCTCAGCAGAATCTGAGCGGCGAGACAGAGATATGCCCATATCTCAGGACCCGCATCCCTGAGACCCGCATCCTCCGTCCTAGCCCCTTGGGCTGCAAATCTCCATCTTGTCAGCGCACAGCCACCCCTCCGGTCCCAGTTCCCACCTGTGCCCCGAAGCATGTTGTCTCGGAGCAAATCCCCGCTGGAGAGGTGCTTCAGCTCGAAGTGTTTGGTGATGCGCGACGATACGGTCCCCTTGCCCGAACCCGGGGCGCCCATGATCACTGCGCGCAACAGCCGAGCGGACGCCCCCATGGCTGCGGGAGGGGCGCCAGCCGCGAGAACAGCGGGACTTCGGCCTACAGCGAGCTCACCCCGCTCTGCAGCCCCCGCCCGCAGGCTGGCAAAGCCCAGAGTAGGCGGTGGCCACAGTAACCGGGCGCTTCCGGAAGTGAGGCGACCGCCACTGGGGCCGCCCCGCCCGCGCCGCAGCCTGCCGCAACGCCCGCCCCTCCGCTGCCGCAGGGGCCCACTCCCCTGCGCTGGGCCGGGCCGAGCGGGGGCTAGGTGTTCCTCCCCCTGCACCCTGTGCCCTCCCTCGATACCCGTTGCGGCCAAGGGGACCCCCCAACCCTCCTCGCCTACCCCTACTTACACCCCCTTTTACTTCTCTAGGGTCTACCCTTTGCCCTGACAGTACCTTACCCTACCCTAGGACAGAGCAGCTGGATAAACCGCGCTCCAGTGGTTGCACCCCAGGCAAATCTTTCGCACCCTCTCCCAACCCCCAACAGCCCCTCGGTTACCGGATGGCTCTCTTCCCTCCCCCACCCCCAAGTGTCCCCTATCCCTCCTGCTAAACACACCTTCAACGTACCCATTGTCTTTATCCAAATCCCAACCAGGCCAGTCGCAGATGGATAGGCTTCGTCTCTCGGTACACCGCGCCACCCCCCCTGTAACTCCTGTACCCCATCCTTGGCGTTACCCCCACACGAGCCCTCCTCTCCGCCACCTGTGCTCCTCCTCTTGGCTCCCGCTCCCTTGGGTCACCTGATGCTGTCCTCAGCCCCACGCACTACGCGCCCCCCCCCCACTTTTAGTTCCTTCCCCCTTCTCTGTGCTGAACCACATTTTCTCCCCCTCCCTTGCTTTCCGTGCGAGTTTTAGTTGTACTTTTATCTATGCAGAATCACATTGAGTAACAATGAGCCCACAAGGCCTGCCTCTCCATGAGAGAGGAAACTCAAATGAAATCCGAGTGCATCAAGTCACACATCTGAGTGGTGGCTCTCCTTCCAGGACCACACTTTAAGATTCAAAAGTATCTGTCTTGTCTAAGGGGGTCCTGGGGGAGTTATGAACAAGATAAATTTCTACTTCTTGGAATTTAAAGTCTAATGGTGTAGACATCATAACAAACAAAATAGCAGCAACCAATTAAATAAATAAACAAGTAAATAAGCCAGCAAGGTAACTTGAGATAATGCTACAAACAAAATTAACTAGAATGTATGAAAGAGTGACAGAAAGCTAAGATGGGCATACCCAGTAAGGGCCTACCTGGAGGCACAGGAGTTAAAGTCAGAGCTATCAAGCTATAGCCAACCACTGTGACCTGAGTTCCATGCCAGCCAGGGATCTAACCCACATGGCCAGGCAGGCCTCTCCTGGCTTCCCCTCAGCAGTGTATTGCAATAGATTGGGCTGTTCTGTTCCCCTTTCTGTCACTGGTGAATCCGCTCACCCTTACACCTCTGGCCTACATCCCATTTGTATGCATAAATAAAAATAAGTCTTTAATTAAAAAAAACTGCTCAGGATTTTCTATTTCATCTGTGAAATGGGCACACAGGATAGAATGGATTTAATGTATAAAGACAGGGGCCTCCCTGGTGGCGTAAGTGGTTAAGTCTCAGCACAGTCAAGCTATCAGCAGCCACTGCAGCACAAGACACTGGAGCACAAATTATATCCCTGGCCAGTGTACTAACCCACATTGCACCACAGACTTCTGTCTTGCCAGCTGCTCCCCTCAGCAGTGTCTCTCAGCAATGTCTCTGAGTCAATCCACTTGTTCTTCTCCCCACTCTGTCTCTAATAAATGTTCTCACCTTGCACATATCTCTAGCCTACCCCTATTCTTGGATGCATAAATAAATCTTTTAAAAATAATAATAATAAAGTACAAAGCCAGTTACAGAGTAATATTAGTGCAAAAAAGGTTGTTCCTTTTTTTTTTACAATCATTTCTTTGAACTAGAATACTAAGCTAAGGCAAAAGAAAGGTTCTGTGAAATTAAACAGTGACATCCTACTTCACAGATTTCCAAACAAGTCACTCAAAACTGCTTTTGATTTCAAAGACAAATTAATTCAGAGAGACAGGGAAAACTTATACCCTGGGGAATCTGAGCTGGGTGAATCAAATAAGTACCACTGTATTTAGAAATTTAACAGCTTGTACACATTCATTACTAAGAAAGAGTGAAAATAAATTAATTAGTCAGTTCATGTAGTTAGGGAAAAAGACATTACAATAAAAAAATAAAAACAAAGGAAGGGAATAAGCAAAGAAAAATAACATAAATAAAGGATTCACTGAAATTTTAAGAAAAAGAAGCAACAAAGGGATGAAAAGTCTGGACAAGTACAAGTTACGAAACACTAGAAAACACAAAGGTGTGGGGAAAAATACTTCTAATCTATGTAAAGCGGGAATGCTTGAGGTTTTGGCTACAAAAGAGGGCTGAAAGGAAAATTTGCCTCAGATAAATTGCTCAAGCAAACAAACAAAACAGCTAACAAATCATCCTGTCGTTGGGGAAGAACAGTTAAGTGTACTGGTTACATCAATCCATTCCACAAAATGTCAACTAGCTGCAGCTTTGCTAAAGTTTGTTGATTACTAAGAAGTAACTGCCAAACTGGAAAATTTCCTGGCAACTCGTCCCAGCACAATCATTTCACCATACACAGGAATTTGTATGGGCTGGTTATTCACTGCTTAACTTGCCCCAATGTGAAAGACATTGAGTTCAAATGAATATATCAGAAAGTATAACCATATGATTTCATTGATGCGTGGAATCTAAAAAATAAGACAAAAAAAATCTCATAGATACAGAAACAGATTGGTGGTTACCTGAGAAGAGGGGTTTTGGGGCTTGCAAATGAAGGGATTAAGAGTACAAAGTTCCATATTCATAAAAACATTGTTTAATATAAACAAATTGTGGAACCAACCTAAGTGCTTGATGACATAAATGACTGGGGAAAGAAACTGTGGAATATAGACTCAATAAAATACTACTCAGCTATTTATAAAGATGAAATTGCAACTTTGGGGAGAAAAATAGATGGTTCTTAAGGTGATAATTTTAAGTAAAATAAGTCAGAAAGTGAAGAGCAGGTACCACATGGTTTCACTTTTTTGTGGAATATAAATAAACAAAGAAAACAAACAGACAAAGCACAGCAAAATTACCTGACTGTGTGAAAAACAAACTGGTTACCAGAGAGAAGGTAGAGGGTGGGCAGAGGGAAGAGATCACATGGATGGAAGGGAGTAGACATTTGCATGGGAGTTTTGATGGAGGGTGGGTGAAACATGTGCATGATACGGTGGTATAAATATATACCCCCCCGAAGGCCCTCCCTGTGCCCCAACGGGTTAGCGCAGCCGCACCAGTACATATTCAACCCGAGGCCTGGGAGGTGATCCACATGGCTTCTCCTCTCAACAGTGTACCTCATCCATCTGCCTGTTCTGCTCCCCACTCTGTCTCTGGTGAATCCTCTCACTAACCCTGCACCTCTGGCTTGTACCCCAGTTTTGTATGTATAAATAAATAAATCTTTTTTAAAAGAAAAGAAAATATACCCATGGCATGATATAGTTATGCAAATGACTGGCAAAAAAATGTGGAGAAAATTTTACCTCAAGATTAAATTTTTTTAATATTTTCAAAAGCCAAAGGCAAAATGAATCAAATTAATCTGGTTGTGTAATGACCTGGTCCTCTTTGGTTTTGTTTTTTAAATGCATTATTCTTTGAATAGCTTGCAAAATCTGAGTAATTTTCTACTTAGGTAGGAATAGGTGGTAACCCATTTTCTGAAGTTTTATATTTGAATTTTCGGTACCACCTTACATATCTAACTCCTGCCAGGTGACAAAAACCATAACCTTGGTCATGGAATATACTTCACTGCTTATTTTTTCCTAGCCTGAGGCATCATTTGTTCTTTGAAGCAAAACTGCTCCCATCCTCGCATTGATTTCCTCCAGAAACAAGACAGCATAGTTGTCTTCTAATAACACCCCTGCAATACTGAAGCTGTGGTCATTCAAGGTTTTTCTGACCCAACAGACAGGAATAGGTCAGGGTCTATGAAGATAATTCTCCTCCTTGAAATCCAAGAGTTTCTGTACCACAGGATTTGGAGTTGCACATATCTAAGTTTGATTTTCTCAGGTTGGGTGACTTTGAAATAACTTCTCTTAGTTTCAGTTCCCTCCTTTTGAAAAGATTGTGGTGCCAATCTTGAGGCATCATTGTGAGATTTAACAACATTATGTGTTAAAATGCCAGGCATATACTAGTTACCACTCTTCCTTGGCCCTGTTTCCCTCCTTTAATCTTCTTTCTTCCACTTTCATTTCATTCAATCCTCCCTCCACCTCTTTCCACGATTAAACAAAAGGAATTAGACTAGAAAAATTTTAAGGTTCTCATCAAAACCAGAGACCCTTAGAAATATTGATGAAGTGAAATGCTTTAAGACAAGGGCTTCGGTTGCTAGAATTAGAAAGTCAAAGATGGATATACTGGAAGTGTGAGTTTCAAGATCAATGGTGATTTTAAGTGAAGAGGAGTCTAAAACCTAAAAAGCAATGGAGACAGGGTTACTTGATGGGACTACTTTAGGGTCTCAATAATATTATAAATTATGCAGATTTATCCAAGGGAGAGAAAGAAGAAAGGAAGAGAGGAGATGGTGAAGGAAAGAGAAAAATTAGACAGTAAAAAGGAAATTAAAATTAAGAAGTCAAATAACAGGAAGTGTTGGTGAAGAGGTCATAAATTCAGAATCCTCAGATGCTGCTGCTGGAAGTGTGAAACTGTGGAAAATAGTTCTGCAGTTTCTTTTTTTTTTTTTTAAAGATTTATTTATTTAGCAGAAAAGA